ATATATTGCAGTTGATTTTTGTTCATATACTGGACTGTATAGTAGAGTGGTCAAGAGTCTCAGGATTAGTGCTGCCAGTCAGCTATATACTTGTTACTCTTAGGTTTGAATCTGGGCAGTGCCAGTATGATTTTTGCCTGCTTACTCATGGCCAGCTCTTTGACTAGACTGAAACATAGTGCCAAGGAGTTGCCAAGAACACCAATGACTGATGGATCTCTTACTGGACTTTTGCATAACTTGGCCAGTCAAATCTTAGTCACAAAACTAGGCTTTTTGTCAAAATATAGTCAAGTTTGACTAAGACATGATGGTAGCACAACTATCACATGAATTTCTGTTTTTACTGAGACTCAGCCTTGCCGATACATGGCTGACATGACGAGCCTATCCAGCTGCAGACTAGTCTCTGTTGCTGACTAACACAGAAGATTGCAGTCGTTCTGTATTAAGGTCTGCTTCCAAATACTAGGGCCTTGCAGGTAGTACCAATTTCGGCATTTGCTGCTCTAAAATGATGAACTTTGTGAGGAATGTGTTACCTAACCTGACACATAAGGGGGAAATGCTTATCAGCTACATAAATAGTGCTTACTGAGTAACATTTTATTTGATGCAATAGGCAAGTTGGAATGAATAATTATATTTTGCTTTGGTTGTTGGTTCAAGTCCCACTCAAAACACCATCTATTGTGTTCAATTTTTTTTCATCACTATTATTCTATGCTCTTTCTACCTTTCTATATCACTTAAATCTCTTTCTGAGCATCAAAGCTGCCTGTAAATAATATTTTGAGCTTTCTCTTGACCTGCACATGTGCTGCTTTGCATGTGGGTGAGCTGGGTTTGAAAAGATATCAAATTCAGGCCAAAATGCCTATTACCTGTAAGGGTGTGTAATTTGGAAGTAGTGTACATTGCTCATACTATATGGGCTAGCCATTGTCACTGATGACGATGACAATGCCTGCCACCCCTGTCCCGCACTATGATAGCCCTGCCCACTAGAAGACCTCTGGCATTTCTATTCCCTTTAGTAATATTATCCCTTCTCTAATCCCTCAAAATGGCCATGTTTAATTGTGAAGCAAGCCTGGGACCTCTACCTCTACCTTGTCCATATTACCTGCCCTTTCTATGAGTCACATGATATGCCCAGCTACCAGGACCCCTAAAAATATATTGGGAGGCTGAGTGGAAATTTGTCAAAAGTTGGCAAAATTGCTTAGATGCAAAACCCCCAAAATCAGCCAAACCCTGCTAGATAAGTTCAGGCATATGTAAGATTTGCAAAAATTGCTCGGATCACTAGATCAGGCCTCAAAAAGTCAAAAATATCTCTAGACTTGCCAGATTAGGCCTTCCAAGTGCCCCCAAAATGCTGGATTGCTAAGTTTAGGCTTTTTTCAAGCCTTACAATGGTTAGAATGTATACTAGACACTAGTAGACAGCACAATATAATACACAGAACACTGCAGATAAGAAAACTGACTCCAAACAATCATAGAGCTATTGCCATCCTTTTCTGTGCCACCAGTGCACCACTACTCTTCTTGCCCCCCATGCTATGCTGATGTAGCCCTCGTAGTCATTTTATAGCTATGACAATGGCCATGGTATATTTTATTAGGTGAGAATAAATTAGAAGGGATGTTTGGCATTGTGATTGCTGACAATTGCTTGAAAATTGTTAGTCTGTGCTAACAGCTCATATAGCTTGAACAAGTTGAATTTAGATCAAAAAAAATACTCTACAAGATTCAAACCCAAGGGCCCATGCTAACTCAGTGTCCACATGTGACTTTTTGCAGGATATATAAGTCAGACCTCAGCACTATAAAAGGCTTTTTCTTGGACTAGATTAGGCCTAGGGCTCAAAAATCTCAAAAATTTACCAGATTCCTTCTAATATATTTTTGGGGGTCCTGGTAGCTAGGCACAGCATGTGACTCATAGAAAAGCAGGTAATGTGGACAAGGCAGAGGTAGAGGTCCCAGGCTTGCTTCACAATTAAACATGGCCATTTGGAGGGATTAGAGAAGGGATAATATTACTAAAGGGAATAGAAATGCCAGAGGTCTTCCAGTGGGCAGGGCTGTCATAGTGTGGGACAAGAGTGGCAGGCATTGTCATTGTCATTGGTGATAATAAACAATAGCTGTCCCACATAGTACAAGTAACAGGCTCCTACCCATCTAAAGGTAAGAGAGAGTGGGTGACTATAAATAACATATGCTAAGTAGATTATAGTCACATATAAAATATTTCCCAATAAGGAACTTTTAAACTTCAACCTGTTTATCCCTCACCAATGGCTGACATAAAACATTGGTAAACAAATGCTACTTATAGTGCCAGCTATAGATTTTTGAAGCCCAATACTAGTTCAACAACAATACATTTTATTCTTTTGTTTATCAACAAGAAATATGAAATAGTGTGTTATGTTGTGTCTGACAGTTTATTCTAATAGATCATATTGTCATCTTTGGCATTATTGTGAGGAATGTCACCACCCACTGATGAGCACTTCAAATCACTGTGTTGTGTGGCATTGGTAGTGAGCATAGCACCTCAAAGATCCCATATCTCCGGAGCCTGAGCACAATTATCTTTTGCTAGGTCATGAATATGGAACTCTTGGATCTGTGCAAGTGATACATAGATGGCACTAAAGTACCATCTATTCCTTTTTCCCAAGAGTTCTCCAATTTTCTTTGCATAGACTTCAGCAAAAATTTTACACACCCAGAGCCTAATTTGTTCATGATAGTGAAGGTGCAGAAAGAAACTAGAAAGTTTTTTGCTGATATCTTGGCTAAGATGCTGATGGGCAGAATAGTTGGAATGGAGAAGGCTTTGTAGAAGGGATAGTAGTAATTCTGAGAGATTGAACTGATATGATTCAAGAGTTTGTAGAATAGCATCTAAATATGGATGTAAACCCATTTTGATAGAAGGTAAGACTACTGCAATATGACACAACACACAATACCACAACATTCTATTTGCTCTTGATAAACAAAAGAATAAAATATATTTTTGATAAAATAGTGTTGGGCTATAAATTTGGGTGGCTGGCACCACAGGTGGTATTTGTTTACCAATGTTTTATGCCAGCTATTAGTGAGAGGTTAGTGGGTTGAAGTTTAAAAATTCCTTATTGGGAAATATTTTATATGTGACTATAATCTACTTGGCATGTATCATTCATAGTCACCCATTCCCTCTCATCTTTGGATGGGTGGGAGCATGTACAAGCGATAACTCCCTCTTTCGGCTGTTATATTTGTAAGCATAGACTTACCAGATATGGAAGCTGATTGAACCAAAGCCTTGGCCCAAGCCGGTCCGAAATTCTAAATATATAATTGACCCAGCCAATGTTGTGCGCATAAGACAAAGTTGCACACTCCAACCTAATGTTGCATGCTCTAACATAAAGTTTTGTGCGAATTAATTTTTTGTGAAACTGGGCCATCATACAAATGGGCCGTCATATAATACAGCCAGATTCATAATGGTGGGCCTTGACAAAAAAAGAACATGCTTAGCAAATTGTGTTGGTACTGAAATATTTTGGCTGTGTCCTGTAGATGCCAATTTCTCTGCTTGTTGTCCTCATCCCTTTCCCTAGTCATACGCTGTCTAGATCTTAAATTTAATGCTCTGACTGGGTCCTTTTTTCCAAAGCTTGGGCCTATTGTTATGAATCTAGCTATAACCCTTGATAACAGGACCCTTGACAATTCAGCCAAATGTATGTTTCTCCCACAGTAGTGAGGTGGCATGTAGCGCCACAGCTCTGAAATTTTCTGGTAGTCTGAGGGCCAATTTTGGATGTATCTCTGGTCTCCATTGCTGACTAACACAGAAGATTGCAGTCGTTCTGTGTTAAGGTCTGCTTCCAAATACTGGGGCCTTGCAGGTAGTACCAATTTCAGCATTTGCCACTCTAAAATGATGAACTTTGCGAGGAATGTGTTACCTAACCTGACACATAAGGGGAAAATGCTTACCAGCTACATAAATAGTGCTTACTGAGTAACATTTTATTTGATGCAATAGGCAAGTTGGAATGAATAATTATATTTTGCTTTGGTCGCTGGTTTGAGTCCTGTTCAAAACACCATCCATTGTGTTCAATTTTTTTTCATCACTATTATTCTATGCTCTTTCTACCTTTCTATGTCAATTAAACCTCTTTCTGAGCATCAAGGCTGCCTGTAAATAATATTTTGAGCTTTCTCTTGACCTGCACATGTGCTGCTTTGCATGTGGGTGAGCTGGGTTTGAAAAGATATCAAATTCAGGCCGAAATGCCTACTACCTGCAAGGGTGTGTGATTTGGAAGTAGCCTAGCTGCAGACAGGTTTGTCATGTCAGCCATGTATTAGGACTCAGCCCTGCCAATACATGGCTGACATGACAAGCCCTGAACAGGCTCGTCATGTCAGCTGTATATTGGCATGGATGGCTTCTTCACCTCTTAATGGCCTCTTTAGCCCTGCCATAGCCCTGTCCTACCCTGAACCTTCTAGCTTTTCAAGTGAGAATGGCATTCTTTATTTTGACATGCTTAGTCAACTCCGGCCAGAGTCACACTGGCACGCTGGAAATGCTGGACACGCTGGAAGTCTAGAACCCAGCGAATCAGTGTGTCCAGTGCACCAGACGGCTGTGAAACTACCGATGCCAAGCACTAATCATCATCTGTTCATAATGCCAGAGCAAAGTACCGAAGACACAACTTACACTGAGATCTTAGTTTGAGCAATGATCATTCCAAATTCCTCCATAACGTGTGGTTCAAAACGCCGCAGCAAAGCTCCGGTGTGTTTTGTCCTTCAACAAAGTTGCACTCTCGATTTGCCTGGGAGCTAGTATGCGCTCTCACAGGCTCTCACGTTGCCTGGTATTTTTGTGCAGCTCCATCCGCGCTCGACAGCCACGCTTTAGGTTGACACGCCAGCTCGTAGCGGGTCAATCGTGCAAATATCTGTTTAAACCCTATACATTGTGAGCAGCACACGATGTTGAACCAAAATCAATGGAGCGAAGCTCCGGTGTGCCTTGTCCCGTCACGAACACTCTCTCGTGCGTACATAGAAACAAAAACGAGCGGGTATCAGACAAACATGTAATCCAGATGTACGTGGCTACGCTAAGAGGTATCGAGAAGGGCAAGTTCCTATGGACATGCATGTCATTGTGGATGGTGTAAAGATATTTAGAAAGTGGAGGAGTAGCCGCCAAGGGATCAACCGACACACTAACAAGAGAATACAACGAGCGGACAGATCAATATTGTAACGTGGCTCATATCAAGATACACGACAGAAGAAAAAGAGAAGATGAGAATCGCCGTCGCATCTTCATCCATGGTATCCGACTGTTGAGGGCACTCGCATTCGGGTCTGAGACAGGGCTGTCGTCGAACTCTTGCGATACACCATCCCAGTTCCCGTCCGTGGCTTTCTTGGCCCATCGGCCAGTGGCGCCGTCCCCGGCGGCGATGTAGGTGGTGTGTGAGAAGGCGTCGATAGGCTGTATCTTGTATCAACTACGGGAACCGGAGGGGCACTTTGTGGAGACCAAGCACGCCCATGCCGAGAAGCAGGTGATGGTGGCCCTGATACCGCTCTCGAACGCTGTTGAGCGTGGAGGCTTCGGCTGTTAACAGAGGGTATCCCAGCCTTTGGGGTGGGCTCACTGGGCTGCATGCCAGTGGATAATGACGCGGTGAGACGGAGTGGACGAGGAGTCATCGAAGGACGACGGGCGAGCAAGACCCGAGATGAAGCTTGTGGTGTGACCGGAGCGATATGGCCCATCGATGCACCGGCAGACGAAGAAGATGATGCCGGCGACTCTGGACGTGTCGCACGGTTAGACTGTAACACACTTGTGCTCTCTGCTTTCAGCCTAAGATCTGGGCGGGATGAGTATCGAAGGCTAGCCATTGAGCCCATTCTCCGAGGCAAAGGAGGGAGGATTTTATCACGATCCCACAGTCTATGTGGCGTGTCAGCGCCTTCAGGGGTAGCTGGGACAGAAAGGCTCAAGGTGGAAGCGGTGGACGGCGTCCACATGTCAGAGTCCTTGTCCTTGGAACCGTCAAGGGCGATGGTGAGGATACCCGGATTCGGCTCTGAAAACCGCATACCAGATGGACGTAGCGGAGAGGACGATCCTGAAATGTCGAGGGATGAGGTACTCGAGCTCGCGCGCTGGCCGTTGGGACGAGCTTGCCAGGATGTCGGTGGTAGTGACGAATAACCTTTGAGGCGACCCTTGTACGGCGCGTCTTCACCGCTATATGAGCGGGACAGAGGGTGCGATGCGCGAAGAGAAGACAGTGAGGACTGCCGAGAGAGCCCAAGAGACGATAAACGTTTGGTCAAGGGCGAAGGTGCGTCCTCGTCCTCGCTGATGATGTTATCAGTCTCAGAGCCAAAAATACGAAGCGGTCGCACTCACCTATCGCTCCAACCGAGACCTGTCGTGAGGCCGATACCTCCTCGCAAGAGCCGCCCGTCCTTGTGCCTTGTCCTCCGCTGTATAGTATCACGCTCGTCTTTAAAGATACCGGACTTGGTCATGATCGAACCGGTTGCTAAGGTTAACAGTCAAGACAGGTATCGTCCTTGAGCGACATCACACTCACCAGAAGCCACACTAAGAGTACTTCCAGGCCTCCCGTCTAGCATGGGAGGCATCGGCGAGGATGTGCGGGAGTTTTGAGGAAGAATCTTGGAATGCGGCGAGAGCATGCCATCGCGCAACATGAGATTCCTACGCTCGCATATCAAAGAGTGCGGCTAGAAGGATGTTAATGTCAAGACTCACGGCAACGGCGTATGGAGATCAAGGCTCGAATCCGAATCATGCCCGTCGCTCTCTGGCAGGTCAATTTTCCCAAGCCCGTCCCCGCCACGAATGACCACGCCGTAATCTTCCGCGAACGAGTCCTCATTCCAGTCTTCGCTCGCCGTCTCACTGTTCAGGTAAGCGAGCTCGCTAGATGGCAAACGAATGGCGGAACCATGGCTCTGTCGCTTGGGCGTCGAAGTAGTGGCCGCGCTTGTGCGTCGCGATGCAGGCAGAGATGCAGACCCAGCTGTCTTTGTAGGCCTCTGCGAACGCGACCTAGAGAGGGACGGTGCCAAAGATGAGGAACGGTGACGTGGCCGTGGAGTCGAGGCGAGAATGGTCGAAATGTCCGGACTCGATGCCCGACTATCTCCTCCCGGCTGGGATGCATGGCGCCTGCGCGGAGTGGAGATGGGAGAAGAGGAGACTGTTTCGGACGACAGGGACCTCGCGTTTGGAATGCTGTGATTGCGCATCCTAGCCGCCGTCTGCTCGATGCGAGACTTGTGGAGACGGCTCTTGGAGCGAGCGGCGCGCATCTCGAGGTGAAGCGCTTGGGCTGTCGAGTCGAGGTCGAGGTCGTCGTCTTGAAGCGCAGGGAGGTCACGCATGTCTATAGATGAGATGGATTCTTCGAGACCGGCGGTCGGGGCAGTGAAAGCGGCATCATCGAATTCTGCGTCAGAGTGGGGCATGGGGGAAGGCGTCGCTCGAGGGATATCATCCAGAGACATACGAGCGATTGAGGCAAGGTCGTCTCCGTCAGCCGCGCTAGTCGTCGCGGTAGGGATGTGTATCCGTTCCCGGTCAACAGAGGACTGGCTACGAACGGAGAGAGAAGTGTGGGCGGGAATAGGTCGCGATGGGGCGCCAAAAGAAGAAACCGAGCGAACGGATTTGGTAGAGAGGGAAGCAATGGAGTGTGTGCGGGAGTGGATAGGTCCAAAGGTGTGCGTGCTGGGAGTAGGAGAAGCGGGCACGGCAAGGGGAAAGGCGTTGATCGTCGCAGTCATTAGAGCCAAGGGCTCCGAAAGAGAAGTTGAAGAGGAAGCAGAGGAGAGAGATATCTTCGACGCACGACGGGAACGAGAGGCGGAGATGAGCATGCGTGTCTCGCGCTCGTCGATGGGAGAAGGGCCGGGAAGCGGAGGCAACGGCGTGGACGGCGGCAGAGACGGGGGCGGGTTCGAGGTGGGGAGGGGGCTCGTGGGGATGTGGGAGGGCGGGGCGGGGAAGGATTCGAGGAGGAAAGGGACGGATGCCTTTGATTTACCGGGGGCAGCGGTGGAGAACAACATCGTGCTCGACAGGTCGGGGCAGCGCGAGGTCGGGTCGAGCGTCGAGGGGGAAAGAGCGTGGGTGCCGGTCGACAAAGTCTGTGCTAGTGGTCCTCCGTCCAGCGGCGTAGAGTATCGACCTGAGGCAACAGCGACGACGGGGATGGGTGGGGTGGTCAGGACCGTCGGGCTGAGCGATGCGTGCTCATCAACGTCGACGGCGAGGATGAAGTCTAAAAGCTGCGCGAGCGGGAGCCCTCGCGACAGCCCTGGAAGAAGCCTCATTTATGTAACCCTTTCACATAAATCATTTATCCCGTGGTAATAAGCCTACATACTCTCCCGCTCTCTCTTCCATCCTCTTCAACGTTCGCGTTCGCGTTCACGCCACGACCCTTGCCACTGGCCGGATGTGGCATGTCGTCTGCGGCGCCAGCCATGGCGTGCAGATTGGCGCTCTCGTTGGCGACCTGCAGCGCGCTTCGGAACTTTGCGTAGCCGGTCCTTGCGCTCAGCTACGCCCACACCCGCGCGCGGCGAGCTCACATCGCTTGAGGTCTGTGCCCGGTTGGGGGAACTCTGGCGGGACTATGTCTGGGCCTGAATCTCAAGTGCAAATCCTCGCCAATCCTCTTCGTCCTTCGACCGCATGGAGTCCGCATGGATCCGAAACATCGTCGCTCCCGTCAGCTCCCGTCGCGTGCTCTCGTTAAGCGTTCACCCAGATGGCTTCAATAAATGTACGGATCTATAGACCCTCGCGGCTCTGCCGACACTCCGGACAATCCCGTGACATCATGCTGTGCGCATTTCTCCAGCTCTATGCCGCGAATAACCCCGCCTCGGCAGTGGAATTGTGCACCCTCACCGTGAATTTTTAATAGGTGAAACGCGGGACTCCATGATGCCCCAGCTCTCAAGAGGGATCTAATGATGGACGATCAATCATCGGTCCCCGTCGCGAGGTCCACGAGTTTCGGGGTGCTCTTAGCAGAGTGCAAATTTGAGCTGTTCGAATACCAAGGCGATTGTCAAGCGTATCGCTCGCTTGTCACCGACCAAATATCGAGGTAGTAACCCTTTGTCCCTTGGGTCCGTATCAGCTGCAGCAATCATGGCCGGCTAAGTGGAGACCAATATCACTGTTGTGGGCAAGGAAATCATCGTTCTTCTGACACCAAACGAAGGGGGTACCCATCTCAGAGTCTGAATTGGTCGCTTATCAAGCGCGCACTTGTGGAAGAAGAGGAGGGTGACTTTCCATGCTCCTGTCAGCGTACGCGACAATTAGTGCGTATGTGAAAGGGACCGACACAGTCCATCGCACCAACTTGCTGTTGTGATGTATTGATGCGCTGAGTCGGACTCGAGACTGGTGTTCAAATGAACACTCCGCGACGAGAAAATCAAAAGTCGATAATCTGAAGCATAATTTCGCCGCGACAGGCCGCGACGCGGGGCTTCACGAGTTCACTGACGGTACAGGACTACTGCGCGCAAAACCGAACACCCAGTCCATTGTACCGTATATGATAGCGGCCGACAGCATCCCAGGATGGGTTGCCAGGCAGAGTCGGTGTCTTCGGGCATGTGAGGCGAACTCGTGCGAAGCATCTTTGGCATATTGCCTATGCGAGGACAGATGAGCGAAAGCGATATGATTGGATGATACGTTCGGTAGTGAGGATAAGCGGTGAACAAAACAGCATGCATAAGCGATCGCACAAAGCTTTGGAAACCAGGCTGCAAGAAAGCGAACGAGTGCGGTAGGGGAGAACAAACGCGAGGTCAGAGGATCATCACTGATATGGGTAAGGGTAGCCGGGTCTGCCGTGGCCACTAGAATGCTGACCAGGCATGTATGACTCCCAGGATAGAGCCCGCTTCCGCCCGTCCCACCCTGGGTCTCTGTACCTGTCCGGATCATTGCTGTAAGGGTGCGAGTCGGGAGATGGATAGCGAATGATGTGAAGGGCGGACGCCGAGGGCAAGGGTGACGCCATCGACGTCGGAGAGGTGGTGGCAGAGATGCTGCTCGAGACGGATGACGAATGGTTGCGGTGGTGACGGCGCATGTTGGAGTTCACGTTGAATGCGCGGCCGCATCCAGGGTGTGGGCAGACGAACGCTGCAAAACGGACGAAGTGAGTGAGAGGACCCAGGCGCGTAATAGGTCGAGCCTTACGTTTTGCTCCGGTGTGGGTGTTCACATGGATGCCCAGACTGCTCGGTCGGTTGAAGCGCTTGGAGCAATGGGGGCAAGTGTGGCGCTTTCCGCCATCGGCAGCTTTGTCCGCAGATGCGCTGTGGTCACTGGTCGCGCCCAGAGACGGCGAGCGACGGCCGGCCGTGGAGGAGTTGGCTAGTACATTCGAAGCGTCTTCCGGCGCACAGTAATGGCCGTGTGGATGATGTCTCCGGGTGTCGCGGACGTCGCGGGAGACAGGCATGTGGGCATGGATGGGGTCAGACTCTGCCTGGGGCGAAGGAACACGAAAGGCTGGGGCAGAGGAGTGGGCATGAGGACGATGGGGAAGGTTTCTTCCCATCGTTGTGCTGGTTGCAACGCATTCCAGAGAAGAACGAGAGGGATCGGGACGGAGAACGTCGAAGGAGTACGACGGTCTGAGAGTTGGGACATATGTGCGGGCGGCGCGCGGGACGTGCGAAGCATAGCTTAGAGGCGGATAAGTATACGGTGTCTCGAGAGGGCCAGCTTCGAAATGGTGGACGATCTGATGGGGTGGTCGGGGGATCAGAGGACCATCGAGACGATGTTCTGAAGGCACGGGTGGGCGACGATCCGCCGCCTCGATGGGATCCTGCATACGGGCGGGTTGTCAGTTAGATGAAGGGGATCAGGGGAGAGGGAGGAGACTCATACGGACGAGATGGTGGAGATCATGAAGAGATGCGGGGGGCAGACGGTGCTTTGGGGGGTGGTCGTGCTGCAGGAGATGTTCTTTTGATCGGGGTCAGTGGGGGGCACCGCAGAGCAAGGGTGGGCACGGAGATTTACCGGGGTAGAGCTCATGGATGCTGGGAAGCGAGACGGGGGAGCTGGGGGGATGGAGAGGCATTGAGGAGAGGGGGGAGAGGACGGGGGGCTATATAGAGGGCGCTGTTGCGGTGCGAAGAGGCGCGTTCGGTAGGTTGAGACGTCAGAGCTGGGCCACGGGTTCCTCGCAGAGACGATCCCATCGCCCCCCGCGCGCGCACACACACCAGCGGAAAGCGTCCTTCGGCTCCATAACCTCGCCCGATCTGGCAGTCGAGCATCCGGTTTCTTGCTTGTTTGCCGCGCTCACAGCGCCTGCGCGCGGCTTCACGTGTACCGCGCCTTCCATTCCCTGCGCGCCCCTTTGCCCCCACCCAGATCCGACCCTGTGCGGGGGCTGACTCGCAGTCTGCACGCCAGATCTCTCCCCCCCCTTGAGAAAGAAGCCGCAAATCCGGCACAGATGTGTCGCAGGATTTGCGTCCTTCCAACCGACGCCGCCAACGTGGTCGCAGCGTGCCCCGACCGTCCCCCGATCTTCGCCCCGTGTGACCCCCTCCCCCCCGTCCGCGTCCATCCCCTTCCTGCCACATTTATACACTCCCGCCCCCATGACCGTCCCTTGCCTCGATCCATCATTCTCTTCCTCGGAGTGCGCAACCTTACCCACCTGTGTGCGAGACGCCCATCGCGTGCGTCGTCATCCATGCACACGTCCCGCGTCTACATCCTAGATCGATAAGAGATCCGCACGCACAATCGTCCACTGCAAATGGCAGGCCCCTGTCCCCCTCGTCTCGAAACGCGCGCCGGGACTTTCCCCCTTCCGTTCGCGCCAGCACATACCAGATAACACATCGCCAAACAAGGCTTCCGAGCGCCCTTGTGCCGAGTCCGGGCTGCCATCGCTGCCTGGAGCATAAATGGCGTCTCTGCCCAAACACTCACGCAGACCCACACAGACCCACGCCCTGTCACATCGCTCCCAGTCCCGGCCCGACCAGGCCCGACCTCGTCCCAATTCAATGGCGTGCTTCTGACGCCCGTCCGGCGAACAGACACCACCCTCGGTCAATTCATTGATCCCCTTGGGCGCCCACTCTGCCCACTCCCGCCGCCCGTTACTTATAGAAAGACCTCATGTAGATGCTCGAGAATCAAGCATAGCCTGCAGGCACACCGCCCCCATCACCGTATCACGCACGGTGATGGATCCGACATCGGCGACAAAGTATTTCCTCGCTCTCGATCCCTATATGATGACTCTCGCCCTCTCCGTTGTCTTTGTCTGGGATCGTCATCAGCGCTGCGCCAGAACCCTCTTCCAGTAATTTTGTACAAACTGACTGATGGATCGGCATGCCGTCAGCAGACGTTGCACACAGCGCGCTCAGGTTTCTTGTATTGGATCTTCTGCTCCACGCCTCTGATCACTCTTCAGGAAGTTAACCCACGTATGTGAATGCTGTTCGAGGCGCTCATGCCATCCTAACTTTCCGCATACCACGCACCTTCAATGCCGTGTGTCCTGCTAAACAAGGCCTTTGGATGGGTTTAGAAAAGGCCATCGATAGTCCATGACACGACTGGCTTGCTCATTCGCGGCCTATTCACCCTGAATGAGCGTCTACACAGGCCACATCGGTGTCTGGACCTGTCTGGACATCTAACCAGATTTTTTTCTTTTTGATGCGCCCGTCCCTAGACGATGACCCGCGTTCAAAGCCGCTCCAGGCTCGATGAGATATATGGTTTTTCCTGGGTGAGACTCGACGCACAGTGTAAATGTTCCATGACGGTTCGACACAGATCCGAAACGTTATGTTTAGTATGGCACGCCGGACAGAAGAGGCTCATAGAGCACTTTTTGAGACCGGAAGCCTTTGAGCTTCAAATATCCCAACTAGCACCTGTCTGTCATCACGTGACCCTCGCTCCATATGTCGAACCATGCTTTGTACTAAGTACTGGCATCTTGTCGTCTGCCTTTATCATGCGTCAATTCATGGTCACCAGTCTTCTCGTGTTCATTCGACACTCGTCCGCTCAGCCTATAGCTCCTGACCCTGACCATGTCCGCCACCGTTCTTCTACCAGTCCAAATCAAGAACACGATTTGCTGCTCGTATTGGTCCTCCTCGCTATCCCCCTTGTATTCTTGATCTCCTGTTTCCTCAAGCATGTGTACATGAACCGCCGCCGTAAACAGACAGCTCATGCCTTCGAGGGTCAACCTTTGCCTGCCATTCCATCAAAATCGCGGAGATGTGGTTCAATTTCTAAATCTGCCACTTCCTGGACCCACACTCGTTGTAAAGGCCTGCTCGTTGGCTGCTTGGGAGATCCAGACTGGGAAACTCGCGTGAACATAGAAAAGCTGGATCCGCCCCCGGTCTCCCGGCGGGTTTCTATACTTCCCCAGAAAACTCGAGACGATTCAGGTTGGTACTACGACGATTCTTGGGCCGCACGACCGCGTCTGTGGAATCGTGTCTCCATGGGAGATCTACGTCATTCTCTGCATTCTCAGACGGCCTTTTATCAATCTTCCTCGTCTGTAACTTTGAGCATGTCCTCTTCCTCTACGTTGCGCCTACCCCTGCAATATCCTGACGTCACCCAGTCAGCGTCTGGGACTAGGCGTTCCACAGACTATTTTGAGACGCCCATATCCCCTACGTTCCCTTGTCGTGAGTGCTATGCAGAGTCTGATTCTCTCCAGGGTTCTTCTTCTCTGCCGTTTCATTGTTCGTCAACACCTTCTCTCAGGCTAGTTCCGACACCGACTCTGCCTTCGCCCAGTCTTATGTTTCCACTCTTTCCGCCACCACCGGTACATGTTCCCGGTCTAGGGTCCACTTCGAGCAGATTTTCTCGATGCTCTCTCAGGATCGGCCTTGAACACGACCCGGTTCCCTGTTCTTCAGTCCATAGCGCCTCGGGCGATCAGTCGAACACGTCCTTTGTGTCTTTATACCGAGCTTCTCTGCAGTTCGGCTCCTCGTTTTCAGCGATGCCGGAGATGACTTTGGTGGATTGCCGCCGTATGTCTCGCATACCGACATCATCGCACACGACGGAAGGACGCGGAGGCACTGTGCGGCCATCACCACTTCGCGAGACCCTATCTGTTGACTATTCTGCGACTCCGAGCGCCTTGTCGGACCCTGAACATTCTGCTGCGCTGTCGCCGCCATCATTCTGGGACGATGATGTGAGTAAGGAGACGAGCGCGGACCATGACATTCTCCGGTAGACAGTTCGTGATCTGTCTACGTTACTGTAACTAAGATCGGCGTAAACAAGGAAATCACTTAGAGATTCAGAGGCTATCCCTGTAGTGAACCGATTAGCGTAGTAAGAAACCCTGTCGTCATCATGTACTCTACCCTGTTGCTTCCAGGACGTGGTTGCGACAGCCAAACCCTTCGGCACTGCTTCTCGCAAACAAACTCACGTCCCTTTCCAGTGTAGCAAAAAAACCAGATCAAAGATGGGGATAAAAAAAGGGCCCAACTGGGGTTCGAACCCAGGATCCCTTGCAAATTGTATGCCGAAGGGCTACCCAAAGCAAGTATCTTACCACTAGACCATTGGGCCAACACTGAAGCTGTCCAGTAGACATTGCAGTGCTCGTTCATGAGGTTCATTTCGCTGCGGAGCAATTCCCAGTAATTCGTGCCAAGTGTGCGAGGTCGAACGCGAACGATGGACAAGTTCAAAGCATTGGAACCGGTCAAACTCTATCCCTCCTCCAACCATCCACCACAGCAACAGTTCATCGGTCGACTTCCGTCTGACCTTCACCTTCTCGTCCTTCAAAACCTCCCTGTACCCGATATCCCACAGTATGCTCGCGCATCTCGTGCGCTCGCGCGCATTGCCGTCTCCGAATCACTCTGGGAGCACAGGTGGAAAGCCCTTGCTGTAGAAGACAATGACTTTCAGGCCACTCTTGACGACCTCGATGCTCGTGCGCGCAAAGCAGCGCCGGACATTCCCCCCACCCTCGATGTCGCAGACGACGACTTTGGTGACTTTGCGTCTGCAACTATTGACCGCAGACAGGATCTCTTCGCACAGACGACAGCCGCAGACGAGATGGGCGATTTCATGGGCTCACTCAGCTTCAGCGGCTCTGCAACCTTCAGCCCTCGCACGCCGACGCTCGTCTCCACCGTTGTAACGTCTTCCTATCGTGCACAATATGTTCGCGTCCACACCCTTCTCCGTCCGCTGGTCGCGGCTCTCTCGTCTCCTCCACATCTCATACTCAACACTCTCTTCCCTGTGCCTGCTCCTTCACTCCATAAGCAGTCCAAGCTCCTTCACCTCCTCGCTCGGTTCCTATCTCCCGATGTTCGACCTCTCCGTGCTACGGACACATTGGCAGCAGCATTGCGCGCTGCTGCTGACCGTTTCGAGTCGAACCTTTTGGCTGCGTTTGACAATGCTGATAGTCGCGCAGATGAATCCGCGATGCGCGAAGCTGCCGAAGCTAGCTGGGAAATCTGGGACCCCCGGTCGTCAGGTAACAGTGAGTGGGAGATGGGCCGCGTTTGGGCAGAAAAGCGCGAGATCTTTTACATGGGAGGTGCACATAAGCCTCTTGATAACTTCACGTGAGTGTATCTGTGTCGATGGCCGACACAGACCGCTGAGTGTTTATCAGTCCCTCCGGTGGGCTCGACTTCGAGGCGATGGATTCCTTCATGTCATTCATCCTTGATACTGTGAAAGAGCATGGCGCCCGCGCTGTGCGCGTCTTCCCTCCAGCGGCAAATGTCCTGATCTCTTTCTCCGACCGCATCGCCAATGAAGTAGTAGGTACACGCTCTCTCACAAATATCTGACATGCGCACACATCATGGCATCTTAGGTAGGCGAGTATATTGCCCCCCTTCTCACTCGTGCGCGATCCCTCGACAGCACGTCTGTCTTCCTCAAGGCCAATGCAGCAACGTTTCGCGAGGCCTGGCGTATGGTCGATTCCATCATGGAAGTCGCTCGTGAACGCGGCGAACTCACAGTGCAGCGCAACGAGGCTGAAGATGTCATGTAAGCCTACTAGACTCTCATCTATCATGCCTCATCTTGCATCCTAGTTATCGGATGTTCGAACCCAACATGGACGAGTATCTCGACGAAGAGGTTGACTCGCTCAAACAGTCGTTTGAGCTCATATGTCGTGAGTGGGAGAAGAAAGTCAGCGTCCCGTCATTTTCAACATAGGATTTTCAATGACATATCTATACAGACGGCGGCAGCAGCAGCTCTCAGCACCAATCAGCCTTCGTTCCTCTCTGCATCCTCACCTGCCCATCTGAAGCGTTCCGTTCTATCTTCTTTCACCGACATCTTACTCCTCCCCGTCACCATTGTCCCGCGCACCGTAGTAGCCGTCGGTGGTTCAGTCTCTGGTGCTGCCGTTCAAGGAATCTCTATGCTGGATCCTCGGCGCTGGGGTGCTCAGGGCACCGGTGCGGATGGATATCGACGTGGTGGTCAGGCAGGCGTTCTGTGGGACGGTGGGGAAGACGAAGACGAGAAGGAACTTGAAGCCGAGGTCGATGCAGACGGCTTTGACACGGCATCCATCACCGCGAACTCCATCAAGAGCACGACCTCAGTTGCCACAACCTCAACCAATGCAACTTCAATGTCAGGATCGGCACGTTCTCGAACCTACGATAACCTCCAACTTCTTCTCTCACTTGATGTGACGCTTGAAATCATCCACTCAGCACGGGAATCTCTCAAGCGTGTGGAAACGTTCGTTGGCTATCCAGGGACTTATGGCCATCGTGTGAGGGAAACTATCGAGGAGGTCGCGGTGGAGATGCTGAGTGTGCTTAGCGATCGACACATCCGAAATGGCTTTGAACAGTGAGTTTCCATCATCGAGAGATTTTCCTTCAGGTATTGATTGGGATGCAGAGCTATCAGTCAGATGCGCATGTATGAGCCGCCGGCAGCGTCAATAGACGACTCGGAAGTTGAGCCCACAGGCTCTACGTCGGTCGCTCCTCTGGTGCAATTCTTCGAGCTCGTGCATATTGGCGATATGATTCAGAGTATCATTCAAGTTTACTTCGATAAAGAGCTGGTATGTGACACGTATCGCCCAGACTTGACTTTGATTGTCTCACGACTATCTTGACAGGCTCCCAACATAGATGTGACAGATTTTTTGAACAGTGTTGTCCGTGAAAAAAAGCGGTTCGAAAACGTCCTCGACGACTCTGTAGCAAAAGGTCTTAACGCTGGGATCGAAGTTTTGATGAACCAAGTGAGCATCGTCAGCTGCAGTATGAACACCGTATCTCACGGCGTCTGACTGTCACAGGTCGACCATATCATCCTCACACTGACCCCACCGCGAACATATTATCCCCCTGACGATGCCCCGATGCTGCTTGGGCCTACCAGAGGATGTTCTCAGGCTATCAAGTGCCTCAAGGAGCATCTTCGGCTGCTCAAAGGAAATGTGAACCGCGAAGTTTTGGAGGTCTTCGAAGGCGAAGTTGGAGTGCGACTGATCGGGTGAGCGCTGCTTCACTGGTCGCCTTCCCTTTCCCTGACGCATCTGAGTTAGGATTCTTGAAAAACATATAAAACGGCAGATCATATCTTTGAACGGAGGTTTCCAAGTGATCGCAGACTTGAACGCATACCATACATTTATCTCATCTTTGAAGGTGTGTATCTACTTTGTGTGATCCGCCCGACTCTAAAGTCTGGGCGTCATCAGATACCGACCCTTACCCAAGACTTTGCCAACCTCAAGATGCTGGGACATGTCTACGTTGTTGAGGATGCGAAAGATCTTGCACAGATAGTCCGGGATGTGACGCGGTACGGTGGTTCTTACCGACCAGAGGTACGTGAGCACACACATGCACAAATTCCGATATTGACCAACGAACAGGATATTTATGAGTTTATCCAGCGTAGAAGTGACTGGAAGAAGATCGAGAAGGTCGTAGATAAGACAATGTACAATTTAAACCTCAGAGAGGACTGTGTTATATGTTAGTTCGGGTGGTCCAGCGCAGAAGCTTGGTTTATTGGAACGAGTAACTTTCACTGTCATTAATTTGAACCGGCCCAATGGTCTAGTGGTAAGATACTTGCTTTGGGTTGCCTGGTGGCATAAATTTGCAAGGGATCCTGGGTTCGAACCCCAGTTGGGCCCCTTTTTGAGAACGGCATTGCAAAGAGACGTTTAATTGTCATGCTTTTGGACACATTGCAGCTCAACGTGAAAGGCAGTTCATGTGCAGTCATCATTGCCAGAGACCTGTCGACTAAGCGCACTACGCCTGATGTAACCGCTCTCTGGAAGGACGTCAAGATGCTTTCAAAGAAATCGGAAACAACGCACAAGGCGTTATAATCGAAAACGGATGCACGCACACTTAGTTCGCACGAGGAGATACACTTGGTTTGTTTTTCAAGTTTCATATAGTCGAATTTAGAAACCTCGTTTGGAGTTGGAGCGCCTTGGACAGTGATGCACGAGTCACATAGCGCGTAGTAAGTGTTTTGGAATGAAGCTGAAGCAAGGGCCTGGCATATTGAGAACAGCAAACGCTTATACGAATTCGCAAGTGGCCCGACGGTGGTGGAGCGCTGGTCCTCTGGGGGAGGCGAAGGACCCGTAGGACCCATTTTTTTCGTGAATTGTGTCACGCAAGGTCGACGAGCGGCGTAGACACAAGGGTCTCAATTGCGTACAGCTCCAAGCAGCGATGATAAGAGTTGTAGGCTTCGAAACACCCTCAGTGTCTCCGCGTGGGTTGACAACGCTGACAAGCGGCCTCTGGTAAAATGACGACTTGTATCAAAATCCGGCCGGATCTAAATGGTGCGATCCGACGGATGAAATTTTCGGATTGGGTGAGGAAAGGCAACTAGGACAGTCCCCGTAAACGATGATGTCAACGACGTGGGCACAGTAGGCAACAGGTATGTGCCTCGAATGGCTTTTGAACCACTCCATCCAATCCGATCCCCATTATTTGTGACACGCTGGAGCCAAGGGGTGATTGACATACGTCGGCGCCTTCGGCTTTAACATCCAAATGGCGGAGACGTCAGGTCACGACGGGGGGAAATAATCAGGCCGAAAACGTAGATCTGGGTAAACGCGCGCATAAATGAAACGGATCTTGTAGCACCTAGCAGGCTTGCCCTTTCGCACCTCTTGCTCAGACCCTTTCGACCCATGCCGCACGATTTGTTCATATCAACCCCCGACGTCGTGCACTTGAGCACGGGGCCGATCGCCGCAGCAAGTGATACCTCGCACATCTTCAAATATGCTTTCCTCGGCGTGGATTCGAATGGTGCCCCGCCTCCCATCAAACTTCCTGCAGAATATGCGCCGTGGCAGGACGCGCTTCGACGCGCGAAGAGCTTGCCGTTGAGGCTGGGGGACGTTTCCAGCGCCGCCGAGGCATGGTGCCAGAGTGTACGCGAGGTAAGCATTCTGCTCATTCATTCGCGATCTCGCCGAGTCGTATCCCTAAACCTCGATTGGTGCAACAGATGCCTGTGATATCAATCGACGCGCTGTTAGCGAGCTTACCCGACCTCGTCCGTGCACGGCAGGTGTTGCTGTTCCTCTTGCACTTCTACGTGCACTCCCTTCCGCCATCAAGCGGGTCGGAAGGCATCAGGATACCCAAGGCGCTCGCGATTCCCGTTCTGGAAGTCTCCTATGCTCTAGATATGCCACCGGCGTTGACGTATGCGGACACCACGTATTACAATTACGAGCTACACGAAGAGAACGGGATTCGGGCGCTGGACCTGTTCACGGGATCCTCGGACGAGGCGCACTTCTACGTGACGACGGTTGAGATTGAACAGGAGGGACAAAAGGCGATGGCCGTCATGTTGGAGATCGTTTCTGCCTTGTCCGACCCAGCTTTGATGGACAAAAATGAGGAAGAGCGGCTAGCGGGTCTTCTGCGGAGTTTGGCGGCCAGCATCAGTGAGATGGGGAGGATCCTGGACGCTGTGCGAGACGGGTGCGCGCCGAGCGTGTTCTACAACGACATCCGGCCCTGGTACGTCGGGTCCAAAGAGGAAGGGGATGGAAAGTGGGTATTTGATGTGGGCCCTGTGGCCGACGAGGTGGAGAAGCGGCTGGAAGGAAATCGGTGGGTGCAACGTGGAAAGGAAGGTGCTTGGGTAGCGCGGGCGATGGCAGGGAGCACAGCTGCACAAAGCGCGATCGTACAGGCGGTGGACGTGTTCCTTGGGATCGAGGGGTTGACGCATGAGCGTGGGGGATTGGGCACGAACACCGCGATTGATCGTGGAGGATACGGTGGCAGTGGCGAAAGAGGTAATTTCCTGACAAAGATGCGGGCCTACCTGCCGCTGGCGCACCGCAAGTTCATCAAAGCGTTGGGGGACAAAGCACAAGGTTTGAGGGAGCACGCGGAAAAGAGCGAGGTGGCAAGGGAGGCGTACAACGAGGCGGTACTGGCGCTGAAGGAGTTTAGGACGGTGCATGTCAGGATCGCAACGCTGTATATAGTGAGCCAGGCCAGGAAAGCGATCGGAGCGGAGGTGAGCGAGGGGGTAAAGGGTACGGGCGGGACGGAGTTGGTGCCATTCTTGAAGGGGGTTAGGGATCGGACCGGACAGGGAGCGTTGAAGGTTAGCGAATGATGGGTGCTATAGGGAGGAAAGAACATGTACGATCAGTGTAGCTTGAAGACGGAGCACGGCCGCGATGAGAGACAATGATTCCACGGGGTAGTTTACAAACAGGCTGGTACAACAACGACTTTGATCGATAAGGTATGCGCTCTATTCGTCCAAAGCCACTTCTCGGAGGCGGACCTAGACTTCCTGTGCAACGCCGCTCTTGACGAGGGCGTCGACAATCTCGACGGCACGATCAAATGCCTTCTTATCGTCCTCTGTCGGGGCGACGTCGCTGTCGAACCTGGCGCAGCCCTGGGGCGCGGAGTTGAACCAGGTGAGATCGTCGCTCTGCCACATGATGCCGATGTCCCTGTGATAGATGTCTGAGGAAGGGGGGTTCTCTGTGGGGAGACGGTGGAGGATAGAGCGGAGCTCGTCGAGGAGGGCGGTTGTGGTGGCGGAGAGGGGGACAGACTTGGGTGGGTGCGACTGGAGGTGGGGAGTGCCGTCTGGGCGGAGCGAGGATGCGAGGAGGATCGAGGTGGGTGCAATGGACGGGTCGAGGGACAACTCGTGAACGGCAGATGGACGCGGGGGCGCAAAGCCGCCAGTGATGCCTGATGGGTCGGTGAGCGAGAGAGGATTGAGGAGGACGTGTGTTCTTACCGTGCTGGATGCGAAGGGAGAAGGACATGGTGGTTGCAGTCAAAGCCGCGTAGATAACAGATTCACGACCAACAACACATGCATTTCGTGGCTCGATCGTGAACCTGCGTATTTAAGTACCGTCTTTCTTCGCCGTCCATGCCACCTCATCTTCTCCCCTCTACATCATGGACGGGGGGCTCTTCCCTGAAATCCAGTCCGAGATCTTCTTGTATTGCGCACGCAACGACGCCGACGACTTGCTCCACCCCTCCAAAGCCCCTCTCGTTCTCACCAGAGTGTGCAGGTCATGGCGGGCGATCGCACTGCAATCGACCCCGTCCTTATGGACGTTGCTGCAGATCCCCCGTGTGGACTCGTACAACCACGATTCTCTCTGTCGCGCGCTGGAGACCTGGCTGTCGCTGTCCAATCGCAGGCCACTCACCATCTCTGTCATAGCGCCGGCCCAGCCCTATGTCGACCGTCTCCTGGCCATCATCGGCGCGCATTCTCATCGCTGGAAGGACATGGTCTTGCAACTGCCTGTGATGCCTCCACTTGACGACGCGCCCCCTCTTCTCGAAAGGCTTGCCTTGACGACCTACGGGGATCGTGGCATCGAGTCCTTCGTTCCTGCCATCCTATCCGCAAAGCGTCTTCGTCACCTCGCCGTCCGTCCAGACTCGTGGCATGAAGAGTTCCAAAGCCTCTTTTCATCCCGGATTCTCGAGGTCTTCTCCGCTCATTGCTGGCATCGCAGCCCAAGCTGGGACATGGGTCGATTTGCGGACAACGCCCGCGGCAGCCACCTGGTCGCTCTGCGGCTCTCTTTTCGGGAACTGGCTGTCAAGAACACGGACATAGGGACCCGGTGCATACTGCCCCGACTCGAAAGCCTCAACATCAGCATAGAGGACTGCGATGCGATCGCCGTCTTCATCGACGCTCTCGAACTTCCTCGATTGAAATGTTTGGAGCTGTCCGCTGCACCACTACTAAAAAAATCCAAGCGAATAGGACCGAGTTTGCTTTCGCTCCTCTCCTATTGCACTGACACGATTTCGAAGATTTGTTTGCGCTCTGTCCGTATGCCACCCGCCCATCTTCAAGCCGTCCTGGCCAGTGCCAACAATATACAGAGCCTGACCCTGACGAACACGTATCATGCCAGCCTCGTTCTCAAGCACCTGGCTCTAGTCTTCTCCCCCACAGGCGAACTGACTCGAGGACAGAATACGAATTTGTCATACCTGTGCGTCCTTCCACAGTGGGAAGACGCCGACAAATGTAGGTACTATTGTAGGCAGCTGGTAAAAGTCGTCGAGTCTCGGAGGCGGTGCGGTAGGGTAGCCAAACTGAAAGGCTTGGGGATTTGCACGCAAACGTGGAGCGAGGCAGAGGAAAAGGGCTTGGTCGATCCCCTCCATCGCATGATATGGAGAGACGAAGGCTTGCGTGTACACGAAGGGGGTCGTATGGAAACCGGCGACGAGTGGTTTGCCAGAATGACGGACAACGCGTAGATACACCCCTCGAGGCCAAGTGACCCTGTTTCGGTTTCATGTATATTAGATAGACATCGTGAGTCGCCAAGACAACATCCCAGCCTTCTCTCCAAGGAAATTGGCACCTATGTGATACAACGTCCGCAATCACACCTGTCCTCGCCACGATATCTATCTATTCCACGCACACCCATCTGCGTCGTTCCCCGCACGCCGGCGCACTGCCGGCGCCACGGGATGCGTACCTGAGCGCAGCGTCGCGCGCCATGCCTGCCCTTAATTTCCTGATCTCGCTGGGGGTGCACGAAGCGAGATCGGGGGGTGCGCCGGCGCTAGCGGCACCGACGGCGGGGAAGGCTGCAAGAGGCGCGCGGGACCGCAAGGCCGCCGCAGCCCCCATGCCATGCCCTGGCGAGGTGCCGCCGCGTCGGATTTCTGATGCTGGCGGGGCTTGGGGATTGGCTCCCCCGAGCGGACGGGTTCGTGATTGGGTCATACGCAGGTTTATTCGTGGGCTACTACTAGGGATGCAGAAGGGGCGCGCGACTGCGGGGTCGCTGCCGGGGTATACGGGCGGACGGGCGCGAGGCAGCAGGGATAGATAGATACATACATCGTACACTACGTTCATAAACAGATAGAGGCGTGCATGCAGGCAGCGTTCGGGGCGAACGGTGTTCTATTGGGTGTGGGATTCGGATGCGATGGGGGGGGAGTGTGGGGGGACGAACGAAACGGGGTTTATGTTGATGGATGCGAGGAACGGAACGAGAGGCGGGAGGGTCAAGAACCATAGTAGTCGGTGTCATCCGAGTCTGACGAGTCGGAGCTGCAGCTGCCGAGGACGCCAGTAAAGGGGGAGGCGACGGCGGTGGCGGGAACGGGGCCCGGCTTGTGTTCGCCGGTCGATTTTGCGACGAGCCAGTCGTGCAGGATGCGGTTTATCCTGGAGAGAAGGAGGGGGAGAGTGGGGGGTGGGGGTGAGCGAGACGGACGGACGGACAGAGGAAAGAAGGGGAGACGGACTGCTTGGGGTGGGTGACGCTGCCGAAATGGCAGGCGTCGGGGATGGCGCGGACGGTGACGTCGATGCCGGCGCCCTTGAGGGCGTCTGCGAGCTCGGTGGCGTAGTGGAAGGGGTAGGCGATGTCGCCGCCGCAGTGGACGAGGAGGAGGGGGCAGCGGACCTTGGCGAGGGTGTCGCGGGGGTGGGGTTTGCGGTGGATGAAGAAGCCGACGGAGACTTCGTAGTAGGCGTCGAGGTTGTGGTTGTCCCAGTTTTTCTTGGCCTGTGGGACGGCGGACTTGATGAGGCTGAGGGGATGTCAGGAAAGGCACGAGGGGGTCGAGCGGAAGGAAACTGACGCGTGAATGACGCCGGAGGTGGCGTTGTTGAAGCCGAGCTGGAGGGAGCCGTAGACGGAGTCTGTGATGGCGTACTCGTCGACGGAGTCCGGATCGTGGAAGCCCTCGGCCCAGCAGTCGTAGATCTCCTGGCGGCCCTCTGCGACGTCCTGGGGCTGAGGGAAGGAGTGAGCGGGGGCGGGCGGACGGACGGACGGACGGACGTACCTCTTCGAGGGGGAGAGGGGAGAGCATGGTGACAGAGAGGACCCTGTCCGGATGGTTTATCGCGAGGGAGAGGCCGATGCAGGCGCCCATGGAGAGACCGACGACGTGACATGGGGGCAGGTCGAGGGATTTCTATCAAGCAGGTGAGCGAGGGGGCCGGTGTGGGATGAGACGGGATGAGCGGACCATGAGCTGAAAGATATCCTCACTGGCCTCGAGCCTGGTGAAGTTTTTGGGGACATGGCCGATGCTCTCGCCGTGGCAGCGGGAGTCGCACGCGATGAGGTTAAATCTGCGGAGGGAAGGGTCGAGGAACTGTGCTGGAGGGGGACGGGTTAGCAGAGCGGCGGTGGCGACGGAGGGGTAAAAAAAAAAAAAAAAGGCGCGCACGATGGAAGATCTGGGATGCGATGTATACGGGGTGGAGAAAGATGACGGTGGGCAGGTCTCTGTCGATGTGCTGCGCGGAGGGATTTGTGGGTGTTGCGATGGTGTAGTACATGTGGGCAGCGCCCGCGGTGGAGGAGATGTCGACGAAGGGCATGGGGGGCTCGTGGGCGGGAAAGGAGGGAAAGTGTAACGAGGGCGCGATGGGGTGCGGGGCTATAAGTAGCAGAGGGGGGCAGACCGGGAGGAGACATAAGTGGGATGGGCTTACGAGCAAGGCACGGGTGTGGGCAGAGACAGATCTGTGTGCACCGGGTGCGAGATCGGCACTGGAGGATGCGCCGTCGCGGGGGACTCGGCAGCGGGCCACGGGCGCGGGCGCAGACACAGGAGCCGTGCATGGCCTCGGCGCCGACGGCCGCTGGCCCATCCCCGACGTGCCCCCATTGGCCTGCGCTAGCCCGTCCAATCACCGGACCGGGCGGGGGCATCCCCGATGGCCAGCGCCATGACGTCACGCCTTGCTTGCATAGCGCGATTCGCCGCCCTTGGCCGCCCTCTCCCCCACCCTCACATGCAGTCCCAGCCCTCCCCCGACGCACCCGCACCCGACAGCCCTCGCGCGGTCACCGCACAGCCCCAGCCTGCTCAGCCCATGCTGCCCAGCCAGGCGTCAGACCCCATGCGCCTCCGCGGCGGATGTGTCCCCTGCCCAGTCAGTCTTCTAGCCGTCCCCGCTCCAACTCCGCCACTCACCTCACCTCGGTGCATCACAGGATGGCAGTTTCTGCTGGATCATCCCCGTTCCCTGCTGCTGCTGCTGCGGCTGCTGATCACCTCGGCCCCGCACCGGCTCTTCCCGGCATCCCTTCATTTCCACTTGCTCACTTACTCTCTTTCTCTCATATGTGCTCTTCTCCCTCGGACCCCATCCATCTTCTCTGACCGTTTTCATACACTTCCTCCATACACGCAGTCACGAGCCTTCTGTATCAATACACGCCCTGCACGGCCTTGCGCTTCTGTCCTTCTGCTGCTCACGCGTTTGCGTATTCCGCCTCCGGGTCCACCCCGATCGCTGAATTCCGTCCGTCAGCGACATCGCACCCAACCCGCCCAGCCGCACTCACTGATGTATCCAGAGATGCCCTCGGGCCAGTCGTCATGGATCTCTTCGATGCTGTCCGCACCCGCGTCAGCCACCCCACCCAAGCCGTCACACACCAAAATCAGGCCACCACTCACTCCACGATGGGCGAGAACCCGTCCGCGCTCGCCTGCGCGAACAGCCCGTCGCCCGCGTTCAGCACCCGCGCCTGCGTGTCTCCCGAGTACGGCGCCGACATCCCGATCACGTTCGTCCACTGGTCCGTGAAGAACACCTGCCCGACGTGCGCGACCGTCGTCGCGTTCGCCGGACTCGTCACCCCCGGCCGGTGCACGATCACGTTGATGTGGTTCGCCCCCGCCGACGTGAATCCGGGGAAGATCATCTCGAACTCCGCGATCCCGTTCGAGCCCGTCAGCGTCGCCCCCCGCAAGAACCCCGCCCCGTACGTCCCCACCGCGTTGGCTGCGAGATCCGTGTCAGTCGTCGTCGTCGCATCGCATCGCAGCGTTGCTACGCACGGGCCCACACCTCGACGAGCGTGTTCGGCAGCGCTTCGCACGTCGTCGTGTCCATCAGTCCGATGTCCAGGATCAGCGACACCCCGCTGGCAATTGCAACCGCGTCAGCGCAGGGCGGATCCTGATCAGGGAGTGCGCTCACGCTTGTCCGCCCGTGATCTGTGCCGTGACGGGCTGCGTGGGGGGGGGGGGGGGGGGGGGGGGGGGGCATGTCAGTAGCTAGAGCAGGCTCGCTGCCATAGCGCGCTCACAGCGTTCGGGAGCCAGTTGGCGTCTGCGAGATCAGCATGTCAACAGGGTGCGCGAAACGCTCGCGAGGCGGGCGCACCTTTGGCGACTTCGCCGGCGGTGACGCACGTTGTCTAAACATGTCGTGAACGGACGTAAATCAGATGCCATGCATCACACGAACGTTGTACAGGCCGCTATAGAGCGACCGACGAACAGGGGTGGCTGCAGACAGAACACGGTCAGCCATGCAACAACGCTCGGTGTCCGAAATCATGTCACGAACCGGCCACGGCGCCAGCGAGCACGATCAGAGACAAGAGCTGCATCGTCGCGTTGTGATTCGAGGGGTGTTCAGCGCGCGCGCTCTTGTAGCCCTCGAGAAGGCCAATGGCGAGCGTCCAGCGCGCTGGAGGACCCGCGGATATTTTGCGGAGGCTGGCGCGACGCGTTGGGACGCCAAGCATGGGGGCGTGACCGTCTGCGCATCGCTCTGGAGCCCCGACGGAGGTGACGAAGGGACGATGCTGTTACCTATGCCGCGGTGACGACAAAGGCTATCTAAATATAAGCACGCACAAGCCTGAGCTCGTCATGGGGGTGGGCGCTGCCAGGCACGCCCGCTGCTCTGTCGGGCGTACGGGCACCCCGGGGATGTCCTCTGAGCGGCTCGTGGCAGCTGATGGTTGCTTCACGGAGGAATGTGAGGCGGGGGTCGTCACGTGTCGAGGGGATGCCGGCGCGAGCGTGTTGTTTGGGGCGTGTTTGGCCTAGAGTCGGGGTGGAGGAGCGGACAGTGGCAGCTCGCGGCCAGCTGCACGTCCGCTGCTCTCCAGCACACTAGCGTAGACACGCCCGCTCGGCACCACCGTCCTTTCGTCCACACCACATCTCTACGCCGCCAGCAATGCCCGCCTCACAACGTCTCGCCTTGATCGTTCTCGCCGCTGCCCTCGCCGTGGGTGCCGCACCCTACTCTCTGTCTCCCGGCCGTCCGCCCTATGTCGGCATCCTGCCCGCTCGCCGCAGGGACCTGCTCGCTCCTCTCACTCATGGCAACGACCCCAGCTCCCCTAAGCACGTGGCGGGCATCGGTCTCAAGCGCCAGGCCGACCCCGTCTTCCCCCACACTGTCCAGCTCGTCAACATCGCTCCCTCTGCGCTCGCGTTTCCTGTTCCTTCTCACCCGGGACACCTGGGTCCAGTCACTGTCTCGCTGTCCCCAAGCGAGCATCTCTCCGCGACATCGACCGCTGCCCACCACCCTGCGCCGACCCACCTCGACTCCGCCCCTGGTGCGCTCTCTAGCTCTTCTCAGCCGACAGACTCTCTCCCCAGCTACGGCGCACCCGCACCCACGGACACTCTCATGGCCCCTGGCTCAAAGGGCTCGTTCTTCGAACCCCCGCTCACGCCCCACGACAAGGTCAAGGTCGCCGTCGTCGCCGCCGTCCTCAGCATCATCGTCGGCCTCATCGCCTGCGTCGCCATCGCAAAGCTCACCAGCAACGCTCTCAGGAAACATGGCCGCCGCTACGCACAGTTTGGCGCCCGCTGGCCTGGCGAGGAGTCCGTCCCCAAGGGTTCCGCCGCGGGCGCGGGCTTCGTGAGCTCCGACGGCTCCATGAGCTTTGTCGCAGGCAAGAGCGGCCTCACCTCCCCCGCCGGGTCCCTCTCCAGCATCGGTTCGGGCACCCTCACCCCGCCCCTCACGTCCTTGGACCTCCTCACCGCCTTCCCGAGTCCCCCGCCCAGCGCAGTGCCGTCTTTCCCCCTCCCTGCCGTGCCTGCCCCCCACGTCTCCCCTCTGTCCACGGCGCTCTTGCACACTCCCGTGACGCAACAGCTGACTCTGGAGCCATTCCGGGCTTCCTTTGCGTCCGACACGACCGAGAGCACCAGCCCGTCGCTGTCGCGCAACACCACGGCCGCGTCCGAGGTCGCCGTGCGTGGTGGCCACCGCCGGATGCGCAGCGCGCCGGTCTCGATCGCGGTGAGTGCGGCTCCGAGCCGTGCGCCGAGCGCGGCGCTGACGGTCGTCGGGGAGGAGGGCTTTTGGGACCTCGAGTCGCTCTATCCGGACACGCGGCCCGTGAGCGCGAGCACGAGCAGACGCTCCAGGACGCGGAGCGTGGAGGTGATCAGCGTGAGCTCTAGGATTTAAAGGCTACGGCGGCGGCGGCGGCGACGGCTTGGACACTACCACTATGTATCATTTTTTTTGTATTCGAATCGATAAATTCCAAGGGTTTCGGTCATCTGATTCCAACGCGTGTCGAGAATCCACGTGATGTTGACTTTCACGCGTTTGCCTCGCGTCAGATATCCTCCTCCTCCTCCTCCATCGATTTCTCCTCCTCGCTCCATTTTCTTGAATACGCTGCGCCATGGTCTACAATCCAAAGACACCTATGCACTATCGCTCCAGATCCGACGCCACCTCCTCCAAAACGCCCCTCACGCCGTCTCTCATCGCCGGCCTCAGCAACGTATTCATCGCCTCGCCCACGAAAAGCTCTTCCAAACAGTCAGGCGGCTCGGGAACCCCAAATCCCTTTCTCTCGCGGCCGTCCTCGCCGGTGAAGAGATCGACGTCGGGCGGCATCCCCGTCTCTGCGACGTTGAAGCGTCAGGCGAGCATCGGCGTGATCAGAAAGGGCGGGGTCGAGGCGAAGATGGACGTCGTCTCCAGAGATTACGTCCCGCCGAAGCAAGAGTCCAAGCGATCTCAGTCTCAGCCCGCGAGCGTAAAGGTACTCGATCACGTTCCGTTCGTCTCGAGCCCTCTGATGTCCAGACGCGCAGCGTGACTCGCGAGACCGGTTCATTACTACTCGGGAGGAGACGGACGTGGCGGCGACGCTGGACGCCATGTCTCTCAACCCGACTTCCGCCTCTCCCAGACACACAGCGAGGCTCGCCGCGGCCACGGGCGTGCCGCTCAACCGAAGGGTCCTCGCCTACCACGAAGCCCCGCCCACCGCGACGGACACCACCCTCGCCCAGCAACGCGAGTTTGCTCGCCCGCTCTACGCCCGGCCCGGGTCCCTGCCCTCGTCCAAGGGCGCCGTCACGAACAAGTCGCGAAAGATCGCCACGCAGCCGGAGCGCGTGCTCGACGCGCCGGGCATGGTAGACGACTTTTACCTCAACCTGCTCAGCTGGTCCTCGCTCAACACCGTCGCCGTCGCGCTCGGGGAAAACGTGTACATGTGGAAGGCAGACACGGGCGCGGTCGTGCACATCGGCGAGGCCATCGAGGGCACTTACGTCTCTTCCGTCGATTTCTCAAAGGACGGCACCTTCCTCGGCGTCGGGAACGGCACGGGCGAGGTCGATCTCTGGGACATCGAGGCGGGGCAGAAGCTGCGCACGATGGGCGGGCACCAGAACCAGGTCGCGACCCTCAGCTGGAACGGCCACGTCCTCAGCTCCGGGTGCGGCGACGGCAGCATCTGGCACCATGACGTCCGGATCGCGCGGCACAAGGTCATGGAACTCGTGGGCCACGTGGGCGAGGTGTGCGGGCTCAAGTGGAGGGCGGACGGCGAGCTGCTCGCGAGCGGGGGAAACGACAACGTCGTGAATATTTGGGACGGCAGGTTGGGAGACGTCGTCGAGGGCTCGCGCGGCGTCGCCAAGTGGACGAAGAGGAACCACACGGCCGCGGTCAAGGTTGGTCCCCGTTCCCGTCCACGGCGCCTCGCTTCGTGGCTGACGACGTGCGTGACAGGCCATCGCGTGGTGTCCCTGGCAGCCTTCTCTTCTCGCCAGTGGCGGCGGCACCAACGACGCCACCGTCAACATCTGGAACAGCACCACCGGCGCGCGCTTGCACTCGCTCAAGACACCGTCCCAGGTGACGTCGGCGCAGTGGTCGCCGCACAAAAAAGAGTTTCTGACGACGCACGGGTACCCGACCAACTCGATCATGGTGCACGCGTACCCTTCGCTCGAACGCGTGGCGGAGATTCGCGATGCGCACGATTCGCGCGTGCTGTTCAGCGCCATCAGCCCTGCGGGCGACATGGTCTGCACGGGCGCCGGCGACGAGAACCTCAAGTTCTGGCGCATTTGGGATGCACCGGTCATCAAGAAGAAGAAGGACGGCAAGGAGGGGCGTGGAGGCCTCACTGGATCAGGGATCCTGTCGCTCAGGTGAAGGGGGAGCTGTGCGCCGCGACCGTCTATCTGTCTGCCATGTTTTCTCGCTACGTCCAATCATCTTGTTTGTTATATCGATACACAGGTCTACTCATTCATTCCAGCCCCTTGCGCCCACACTTTCGCGATCTTATCTTTGGATAAACTCGATCATGACTCATAGACGACCTTCGATGCCAGTTCGACATGTGTATGTGTGTGTGTATATGTAAGTGTGTGTGTGTGTGAGGCGAACAATGACCTGGACAACGATGAGCGCAGACGAACCCCTCGTCGCTCTGCGGGGGAGCGCCGGCCGCTTCTCTTGTGTATTCCGGGCCGTCGCGCTTCCACCCGCGGCCGTGCACACAAATCATGGGACACATCCCGCAACGGCCTCGTCGTGGCGCAATGTTCTTCCCTCAAATCAGATTCCCAAAGTGCGAGGCCGTTCCATTAAAGCCGAGCACGGACTCGACGCATTGCTATATATCCATCACACGATCCTCCTCCACCACCTTTGGGCTTTCTCAGTCGCACGCACCATGTCCGGCTTATCGCGATCTAAACTTGCGACGCCGAGCGTCAGCCCGCCGTCCAAGGCTCCCAAGCCATGGGTCGATCCCCACACCATGCCAGACTATGGCGACATCTCAGAGGTCGCGGGCAACGCGCCCGACGTCGTCAAGCGGCTGACGAACAACACGTTCGCGTCGTATGGGGTCGGCGACGAGGGCAGCTTTGCGTACACGGTGGGCAGGGCGGTCAAGTTTGTCGAGGTCAAGGTGGACAGAAAGGAGGGGAGAGGCGGCAGGCTGGAGGCCACGACCGTCTGCGAGGTCGTCGTCGGCAAGGGTGCGTCGCGTCTCGTTTCGTTCGGCCTCTACTGCTCACGCCCGCCCGCCCGCCCGCCCGCCGACCGACGCGCTTGCCAGACATGCTGAACGGCGCGGGCATGATGCACGGGGGGTGCATAGCCTACCTCATTGACAAGTGCGCGCGTCTCTTGCGTGCGTGATCGCCGCGCCTGACCTCTACATATTGGCTCTCGATGACAGCTGTGCCAGCACGCCCCTCCTCGTGCTGGGCCTCATGGAGAACGTAAACGGCGTCGGCGTCACGCAGGGGCTGAACGTCACGTACCACGCGCCGGCGCCGCTGTAGGTCCAGAACGCCGCGCGAATTTCAACCGCGTTCATTCACCCGCATCTGTTCGCAGGGGAACGTGTCTGCGGATCGTCAGCACGTCCGTGACGCTGGGGAAGCGGGTGATGACCGCGCGATGCGAGGTCCGTGCGCGCTCTTTTCAGGTGCGGCGTCGCACATCTGACCGGTTTTGTGCAAGGTCACGGACAAGGCCTCGGGGCGGATGGTCGCCTCGGCCCTGTTGAGCAAGATGCAGCCCATCCCGAACAAACTGTAGCGTCATACCGACGACGCGAGGGAGAGGTGCGGGACTCTAAAGCACGCAGCCTAGCCCGAACGAGACGTGTTCCACCGTGTAATCTTATTCTATCAGTATGTGTACATGGATTGTATTTGCTGTTGACGTCTAGCTGCTCCAATCACACGACGGCGCTCGCGTGGTCCTGTCCGATGAACCGAGCCGCCTGGACAACGCGCATCTCATTAAGCGGGGCCGATTCATCGCGCGGAAATGAACGCACCTGTTCTCCGAGGGCGTAGGCGATGGCCTGGGTGTGGCAGGCGACCGGGAAGGGCACGGCGCCCGTGTCTGCGCGACGCCGACTCGGGAAACGCGCAAAGAGCAAGCACGGGCAGGGACTCACCGGCGACGCGCAAGCCGGTCACGCCCAGCACGCGGAATCGGTTGTCCAGAGCGCCTGCGCCGAACTTGGTCGACATGGGGACGGTGCCGCCAAAGTGCCACACTGCACGGCGGTCAGCGCGGCGGACGCGCGCGCGAGGGATGCGACTCACTGGTGCGCAGGTCCTTCTTGATGAGCTCCAGGAGACCGTCGCGATCGGGCCTCGGCCTCGGCTCGAGGTGCTCCGTCCAGGCGTCGGCCTGGAGGATGTCAAAGGCACGCTCGAGGGCCTGGAGCATGAGCTCCTGGTCGACCTTGTCCTTGAGCTGGTTCAGCACGATCTTGACGGCGGGCGCGGCGCCGGACTTGGCGGTGGCGGGCGCGAGCGACACCGAGCCGCGAGACTTGGGGCGCAGGAGGACGGTCGTGATGGACATGTAGGAGGATTCCAGAGGGTCGGGGGCGGTGGTGAGACCGTGGCCGTAGGTGAGGAAGTTCTCAAAGTGCGGGGTCACGGCGCGCAAGAGCGTGGCGCGCTCGATGGGCGACGCGGATGGATCTAGGCGGGGAGCTGTGAGCGGACGGACCGCGCGCGGGGGATCGAGAGCGACTCGCCATCTTTGAGCAGCGCCTCGATCTCGCGCTGCGCGTTGGTGAAAGCGATCCACTCGTACGGCAAGCCTCGAGGGGGCGCGTCAGCGTAGGGTGGCGAAGAGCGAGGGAGGGCGCGCGTACCGCTCATCATGCCCTTTCCCTCCCGGGCCCAGGTGTGCAGGTGCCTCCCTGCGGTCTTCACGCTGGAGAGGTCTTCGACGGTGTCGGCGCGGTACTCGTCCTTCAGTCGGAAGCTGGTTCTGGTCAGCGGCGCGTGCACGGACGAGCGGCGGAGAGGGCTCACGAGAGGTCCATGAAGGGGTGCTCCCACATCTGTTGCCCGATGGTGGGCGAGTCGACGACGAGGGAGACGCCGTGTTCGGCGAGATGGGCGGCGGGGCCGATGCCGGAGCTGGGGGAGGCGTCGCTTCAGCGTGCGAGAAGGGCGTGGGCGACGACGTACAGGAGCAAGAGGTAGGCGCTCTGGATCGCGCCGGCGGTGAGGATCTGCGAGGTCGGTCAGTGCGAGGGTGCGGCAAGGGTCGAGGGTCGCGATCCGCACCACTTCTCGCTTGGCGTGCACCGCGCCGGCGCTCGTCTGGACGCCAATCGCCCTGGGCGGCTGCTCCTCGCTGAAGAGGATCTTGCTCACGCGGAGCCCGGTCCATATCTCGAGACGCGTCTTTGCGGGATCGACGGTGGCTCCAAAGTAGCCGTTGGCGGAGGAGCGGGTGCCCTTGTCGTCGACGTTCTCGACGAGCTCGGTGTAGCCGAGCATGGGGCCGCCGTTGACGTCGTCGTACTTGGCAAAGCCGGCCTGCTTGTACGACTGCTCTGCGACGGAGGACCAGCGCTGGGTGCGCGGGGTCTGGGAGATGGCGCGGATGGAGATGGGGTTCTGGGAGTCTTTCGAGCGCTTCTCGATCTGTGGGGGAGACGCGTCATCGTGGCCGGACCGGGGGCGGATCGGGCGGGCGCACCTGCTCGTAGACGGGGACGATCTTCTCCCAGGAAAAGTCTGGGTTGTCGACGAGGTCCGCAAGGAGGTCATAGTCGTCTTTGGAGCGCGCGTGTCAGGGGGAGAGCGCAGGACGCGGGACGCTCGTGTGCGCACCTTTAGGACCGCGGGTCCAGATGGCCCAGTTGATGCAGGAGGACCCGCCGAGGACTCTCCCTGCCAGAAGCATCAGCGGGAACCGGGGGCGAGGCGAGAGAGGAAGGAGACGGACCGCTGTTGATGTCGATCTCGCGGCCGGTGAAGGGTTCCTCGGGGGCAGAGCGGTACTGGGCGTCGAACTGGGAAAAGTGGAGGGAGCGGGTCTGGAGCGGGGCGTTGACGCAGTTGCGCAGTTCCGGATTCTGGTCGACGCTGCACACGGGGATCAGCGCGCGGGGACACACGGGGGAAGGGCGGGCGGGGGCACGGACGTGACGCCCTCCTCGAGCAGCAGGACGCTGAACTTTCCGTCCTGGGCGAGACGGGCGGCGAGGGCGCAGCCCGAGGGTCCGCCGCCTACGACGACGAAGTCGAACTCGGGGGTGATGGGCGCGCCGTCTTTGGAGAACTTTGCGGAGCGAAAGGAGGAGTGCTGGGAGGAGAAGACGACGTTGGACATTGCGGGTGGGGATTGGGGAAGGAAGGCACGGCGATGGACCTGGTTATAAGGCGTGCACACGGAAGGAAGGGATTTAATCAGATGCGAGGCAGTTATGTAAATGGCATTCTTGTGCTGCATTCGCGACGCGAGACTGCAGTCGCACGCAAACGCGCGGCGGTGCCCTGACCAAGGCGTGCAGAGTGGCTAGGGGCCGACGAATGCATATTATTCGAGCAGCTACGCAAGGGTCGAATGGGATGCACACGCAGCGAGAGCAAAAGAGTGGGCGCGTAACGTCCTGGGTTGTCGGGGGAGAGCGCCGAGCTGGACGGATTGGACTCGGAGTTTGAGGAGGTTCGAGGATGCGCAATCGCGAGCGATCGGAGTTGCGCTGCGGGGCCTGTGACCTTGCAGCCTCGAGGGAGGAGGCGGGGGGCAGTATATATCAATCTTCGAGGGGAGGAGGCCGAGTATCAACCCTCGAGGGGAGGAGGCCGAGTGCGAGTGCGAGTGCCAATGCCAGTGCCAGTGGGGGGGCGTGGGAAACGCACATGGCGTCGGGAGCGTCTTCCGCTCCGAGCCTCTTGCGCCGACCACGTCCGTCCTCTCGCCAGCCGCCATGCCATCCCCAGCACGCGCTCTCCTCCGCCCTCTTCAAGGCCTCGCCCGGGGCCCCCACCTTCGCCCCAGCGCCCGGTCTCGCCCACCGGCGCAGTCTTCGTCGCGGTTCCACACCAGCAGCGGTGCGCTCCCCGTGTGCGTCTGTGTGCGTCTGTGTGCTGACGTTCTCTCTCTCTGCACCAGTCGCGCGACACGAAGGGATCGTGCGGCCAGAGCCCGGCACCGGGTGGGTTGGCGTGTTTGTCATGCGTCGTTCGTCGTTCGTCGAGGCTGACGGCGGAGCAGGATCAAGGTGCACTTCAAGGACGCCAAGGGAGGGCTGATCAAGACGGTCGAGGCGAACGAGGGCGACGACATCTTGGCGGTCGCGCACGAGTATGACATCGACCTGGAAGGTGCGCACGGTTTCCCCCCGCTCTCTCATCCGCACGGCTCCGACGACTGCTGCTGCTGCTGCTGCTTGCAGGGGCGTGCGAGGGCTCAGTGGCGTGTTCGACGTGTCACGTGATCCTGTCGCCGGAACACTACGATCTGCTGCCCGAGCCAGAGGACGACGAGAACGATATGCTGGACATGGCGTTTGGGCTGACGGACACGAGCCGGCTGGGGTGCCAGGTGCGGCTGAGCGCGGCGCTGGACGGGGTGACTGCGACGCTGCCTGCTGCGACGCGGAACATGTTTGTGGACGGTGAGTGCTGTGGCGGGGGTCGCGGCGGGGCGCACGTGTGTGTTGACGGATTCGATCAGGGAAAAAGCCGACGCATCACTGACTCGGAGGCGCTGGAGCGGAGGGGCGCGGCTGGAGCGGCGGTGTGCGGCGGGGCGCGGCGGCGTGTGTGCGGCGTGTTATCTGCTCGCGGTGGCTTATCACGGCGAGGACATTTACTACCGGATGTACTCCCGAATCGTGCGCAATATACAGGGGAGCTGCCATGCCGGAGTCGGGTGCGACGGTCGAGGGCGATAGCGCAGGCGGCGACAGCCCGCCGTGGCTGCCGCCGAGGCGAGAGTCTGTGCGCCGAGTTGATAAAGCAAAGGGCGCCGAGTTGATAAAGCCAAAGGTTAGAGGCCGTGCAGGTTATGGATCCCCTCCTCGCGCCGCGTCCTCAGCCCGTCCGCCGCCACTCCACCGCCGTCCCTGCTCGCCGCCTCTCCCGTCCCTACCGCTCCTCGCCCCTCGCCGGGCCCGCCCTCTCCCCCAGCGGCGCCCTCGCAGACCCCCCGCGCGTGTCCTCCTCCCCCAACCTCAACACCCTCTCGACCCTCCCGCCCCGCCGCGCCACCGTCACCGCACGCAGCGAGCACGTCCCTCGTCCCTCTACCTCCCCCGCCCCCTCCACGCCCCCCTCCAAGCGCAGCTCTCTCTCTCTCCGGTTTTCCCGCCGTGCCTCGTACTCCCCCTCCACATCGGCCTCGTCGTCGTCGTCGTCGTCGTCGTCGTCTCCACCCCCTCCCGTCCCCGACCTCCCCTCCCGCCGCCGCCGCTGCTCCATCGCCGCCGCCGCCGCCGCCCCCTCCACCTCCCGCGACCCCGCAGAGAACTGGCTCTCCGCCACCGCCGCACCCAAATTCTCCCGTCTCGGCCTCGCCGCAGACGGCGTCGTCCTCCCCGTCTCCGCAAAGGCCTACGCCGCCTCCATCTCCTCCCGCCGCGATCGCCCCGAGCGCCCCTCCTCCCCCATCAGCGTCCGCTCCGCAGACTCCGCAGACTCCCGCTCCGCCCTCTCCCTCGCCCGCCGCCCGAGCGACACCAGCCTCGACACCAGCCCCCCCGCCTCCACCGGCTCCAGCTCGCGCTCCCCGCGCGTACACTGGTCCCCGTCCCCAGACGACCAAGAGGAGGGGGACGCGACGACCGCGATCACCCCCGCTGCCGTCGCACCCGGCAAGCGCCCGCGCCCACGCTCCCTGCGCCGCGCCTGGAACAAGCTCCTCCTCGCCCTTCGCGTCCCACGCGTCAGGGCCCCGTAGCGCGCGCCACGTCATCTTCTTGCTGTTTTTATCCTCCGATCCTCACTTAGACGCTGCCTGCAGGCAGATGCCTCACACACGCTCCTTTCTTGTTCACGATATATATATACATACCCGAATCTATGGTTCCAATGATACCTACATGGGCACAATAGGCGCGCTGCCCTTTTCCAAAGCCGTCCGCAAGCTGCACCCGCGCCCGCGCCCGCGCGCCCGTCAGTGTCCGGCTCGCGTGTGCGCGGAGGCGGAACGTGACGCACCTATAGTCGTCGCCGTTCTGCGTGATGTACCGCACCCAGGGCAGCGCCTGGTACCCGCTCTTCTCGACAATCTTGAGATACCGCACCTGGATCCCGGACACCGTAAAGTACGGGATCTCAAACTTGACCGTCAGCGGCGCCCGCTTCTCCACGTCTTGTTCTGCGCGCCGCGGTGGTCAGCCGGTGGGACGCGCGACGATGAGCGAACGTGGAGGGGGGGGGCGCACCTGATTTCACGCTCGGCAGCCCAAAGTGCGCGCGCATCAGAAACTCGCGCCCGCCTCCCAGCTGCTTGATCTTCCACACGAACGCCGACTTGTCCGGCGCGTACTGCACAGAGCCCGTCGACGCCTGTTTTAACCGTCAGCGTGCATCAGCAGCGCGTGTCATGATCTTGCGCACTCACCCTAAACTTGGGGCTGTCCGCGTCGTCGGGCACGGGCACGTAAATCTCGACGTTGTTCGCCGTGCTCCGCCGCTTGAACTGCGCCTTGACCTTGACCATGTACTCCACGCGGCTGCCCTTGTGGTTCTCGACCGCCGCCTCGACCCACACCAGCGGCTTGACCGCCTGCGAGAGCCGGTACGACATGAGCTCGAATTCGCCGTCCGGCGGGATAAACGAGATCGTCCGGTCGTTTTCGAACCGCGACAGCCGCACGCACTGGTGAAACTTGACGTCCTCGAGCTCGATCGACTTGCCGCGCGAGGCTGCGAGCGAGTGAGTACACGAGTGAATGAGAGCGCTGCGCGCGCGCGCGGGGACGCACTTCGGCCGGTGGTCTCGAACATGACCTTGTCGTTCAGGCCTAGCCGGAGCTCGGGCATGCCAGACAGGTAGCACTTCATCTTGACCGCGCCGAGAATCTCGGAGCGCACGACGTTGCCGTTCGCGTTGACCTAAGGGGGGTGCACGGGTGAGCGGCGATCGGCAGCAGGACGAGGGGGGCACACAGACGAGCAGATTGACGCTCTCGATGACGTCGAGGAAGACCTCGTTCTTGCGGTAGCGGATGCCCTCCGAGCGCCAGGAGACGGCGTTGGTGACGGCCATGGGCGGGCGGACCTGGATCTCGAGCTTGTGCGACTCTTGCGTGATGTATCTGGGCAGAGGGCAGATGAGGGGGGGGGGGGGGGGGCAGCGCGAGCGGAGACGGGGAGGGACAGACGCACTCTTGGAGGATCTTGCTCTCCGTCGTCTGGGGATAGCCAAAGTCCATCATCTCGTCCATGAGCTCGTAGATGATGACAAAGTTGTCGCGGATGGACTCCTCCTCGAGCTCCTTGAAGTACTCGACGAGGACCTGGGACAGGCGGTGCAGGAAGAGGATGATCTCGGCCGCATTGGAGTTTCGGCGGGACAGGGCAAGGACTGCGCACGCGCGGTTCGACGAGCGAGGTCAGAGGAAGAGAGAGAGAGAGAGAGGCACGCACGGTAGAGGTTGGAGTGGCGGATGTGCATGTAGTTTATGCCCTGATTGGAGAAGCAGGGCGTCACCTGCTGGCCCTCCTCCTCGATGTCGAGGATGAGCGGGAGGAAGCGGTCGATGTAGGAGGCGGGGACATCGTCGCGGTAGGAGCGCTGAATGAGTGGTTTGCCCTTGAGGTCGAGGATCGCTATCAAGCTGGCCATGCACGCCACAGCTCCCGTCCCGCCACCGTCTCACCCGCCTCGTCCTCCGACCGGTCTCTTTCAAGTCTCATCCATCCCTCTGCCTCTCCCCGCGTGTCTGTCTGGGCACGCACGAAAAGCGATCCCGAGGGGCCGACGCTTCTTGCGCCTCGAGCCAGAGTTTCGCTCGGCGAGTCCAATAGCATAATACGCAAAATGTACATAGCAGGTGCTGAACGTCTCGCCTGCCCCCGTCTCAAATTGAGACTTCAAATAAAGACGCTGCTTATTTACACTTTCGTGTCGACGCCGAGACGGGTGCGTTGAATTTCCCTTGGGATTTTCTGCGAAGCAGGCCCCCGAGGAAGGCGAGGTAGATCACGTGGCAGTCTCGTCATCGCGCCCTCGTCAAGGCGCGCAGCCACCTCGTCCAACCGTCTCCACTCGCTCACTGCTACATATCCCCTCAAAACAACCGACGACGATGACGGGCTTCGCCGCCCTCCCCGTCTCCGAGGAGGATACCTCAGACACCTCCCAATGGGCCGGCGTCGCTAAAATACTCGGTCCACGCTGGGCACAGCTCCCTGCCCTCACCGTCGGACTCCTCGGTGTCCAGGTGATGTGGTCCGTAGAGATGTCTTACGGTGAGCACTCCTCGCTCGCGAATCGCTGAATTTCGGTCCCTCAACGGTGCGTGCAGCAACCCCGTATCTCATCTCCCTTGGCATGTCCAAGTCCCTCACCGCCATCGTCTTCCTTGCCGGCCCCATATCGGGGCTCGTCGTACAGCCCCTCATCGGTATGCCCCGTTTCCCTGCCATCGGCAGCGCGCTAAGACCTCGCGTGGGATACAGGTGTGCTCGCAGACAACTCAAAGTCCCGTTTCGGCCGGCGGCGCCCCTACATGCTCGCTGGCGTCGCGGTCTGCGCGTCCGCCCTCGTTCTCCTGGGGTTCACGCGTCAGTTCGCCGGCGTGTTCACCAGCCTGGGGTCTTCTGCCGTCAGCCTCCCCACTGCGTTGCTCCGCGCGTCTCTAACACCCTCGCTCAGAACGATTCGTTGACCGTCTTTTTGGCGGTGTGGGCTATTTATTGCATCGACTTTAGCATCAACGCCGGTCAGCCTCGCTATGCAGAGCAAATGATACAATGCTGACTCCCGTCGCGATGTCTAGTTCAGGCGGTAGACCGCGCGCTTCTTGTGGATACGGTGCCCCCCGCCGAGCAGGCCAGTGGTAACGCCTGGGCTGCACGCATGCTTGGAATCGGGGGCGTGGTTGGGTTCTTCCTGTGGGTTCATGGTACCCGACGTTCGATGCGCATCACATTGACGGCTGTTCTTTGTTTTTAGCGGCAACGTGGACATGCCGGCCTCGTTTCCTATCTTTGGAAAAACTGAGCTACAAGTGCTTTCGGTCTTCTCATCATTCTTACTTATTGCAACGCACCTACTCACGGCGTCTTCGGTCAAAGAACGCATTCTACTCACGTCTGGGTACGTCCCGCGGCTTCCACATCGCGTGGCGGAGCGGTCATGACCAGAGCGATGAGGCTCACGGCTTTCCCCCCCAGTCAGCCCAAGAAGAGCTTCCGGAAGGAAATTACAGATCTCTGGATCAATGCTCGTACACTCCCCTACGTTATTCGCCAAATAGTGGGTTCGTATCATGCTCAGAATGGACTCTATGTTTGACCCCACACCTCTCGCAGTGCTTGATACAATTCTTGTCAGTGATCGCCTTTTGACTTTCTGTCCTCGCCTTGACGGTGGCTGCGCTGCAGCTCGTGGATCGCCTGGTTCCCTATCCTTTTCTACACGACGACGTATATCGGGGACTTGTATCGGCGCTCCCTCCCTCCTTCTACTATACTGGACGACAAGGTCGACGCAGAGGCGACGCGTCTCGGCGCGCGCGCTCAGCTGTTCTCGTCCCTCCTGGCGCTTGCCACAAATTTCTTGGCCCCGCTCGTGGTCAGCGAGGCGAGGCGGAGAAAGCCCAGGTCGGGCTGGCTGGACGCGGGAGAGCATGCGAAAAGATGGTGGGAGGGTAAAATTCATCTGGCAACGCTCTGGGCCCTGTCGCATATCATCTTTGCGTTTTGCATGATGGGCACATTGTGGGTTTTGAACGCCATCTGACGGCACCGACCTCGCTGACGTTCCGAGACAGCCTCACGGACAGCGTCGCCGGCGCGACCGTGTTGATGACATTGACGGGCTTTCCTTGGGCAATCGCTCAATGGGCTCCGTTTTCACTGGTATGTTCGCTATGGGCCTTTCCGTCCGCTCATAGCTCTCATATCACGGTCCGTAGCTTGCGGAAGCCATCTTGACCACCCCCACGTCTTCCACGGATCCGGACATCGACGACGCCCAGTCAATCCTTCTCGCAGACACACGAACAGGGACAGCTCGCGCACGAGAGAACGGTGGGGAGCGCGAACAGTTTCTAGTGGGATCCGACGATGGCGATGGACATTCAGACGTGGATCGGGAACGGACGCCATCGATAGAAGGCGAGGACCGGCCGTGGAGCGAGGCTGCCGCACGACCCCAGGAGTCAATGATGGGGAACTTTGGCGCGAGGCGCAGCTGGGTCGACGTCACTTCCATCGATGGGCCAGGTGAGAATGGCGTAGCCGCCGGCGCTCGCGAGCCAGGTCTGAGTGCAAAAGCCGGCATCATCCTTGTACGTGTCTCCGAATTCGTCACCTGCGTGTCGATCTAGAGGGGCCGCATGACTTGACCACAGGGCATCCACAACGTCTTCGTCGTCGTGCCCCAGTTCCTCGTGACTGGCCTTTCCTCCCTCATTTTTGCGCTCCTCGAGCCGGAAAAATCCGTCCTCCATGCGGGGCACCCCTCCCCGGTTGGTCCGAGCCCTGCGACGAATGGAACTGGTGCGGATGTGGGTGCCGTCGTGCGCGGCCTGTTGGAGCGGCAGGTCGCGGACGGCACTCGAGAAGGAGCACCTGCTCTGGACGGTCCGAACTCGGTCGCTATCATATTTCGGTGCGTTCAGTCTCATCATTCCGTCTCGGCATGGGTCTTCTGATGCGTTGACTAGGTTGGGAGGCTTGTCTTCTGCGATCGCGTTTGTCATTTGTTGGCGGCTTGCGACAGAAATGCGAAGACGTTAGATGGGCTACTAATTACAGGCCGCTGTCCCACATCCACTGTCGTGAGAAGAGGATTTTTTTAATGTATCGTTCTACTTCCCTGCATGCCGAAGATCGAGCAACCCGTGACCTAGCACCACTTGCATTCAATTGGAGACGATGTCTAAAATACTGTTCCGTCGCTCTGTATGTCAATGGGTGGCCCGCTGGTCTCTGGCCTCTTCTCCTTTGCAATCTCACGTCCACCTTTCCATGTCGCGCTCTCGAGGACTTGAGCCAAGGTGAGTTGGTCGACAGTCAACGTCAATTTCCGACGGATCAGATCCGCGAGGCGATCCCTAAGAAAGTCATATCAGCAGGTGCAAGACGATAGGTTGGGGTGGGGACGACGAACAGCTCTATGACGGTCATCGCCCGCCATTCGATGATCGCAGGGTGGGAGGGTGGGAGACGAGGAATGGTCGATGAGGGCGAGGGGTAAAATGTAGCAGAAATGACTGATTTCTTCAGTGACAGGATGCCCAGGTCAACCAACAGTCCTCCTATGAAGACACATCGAAGAAATGGTCAATTGCTTCGTGGCGGAGAGAATCGCTTAACGAGACGACATACCATTGCGATACTCGGGAAGGCCGGTCATGTCCTCGAGACCTTCAAATTTCCATCCCAATACTTTTTCGATAGGCTCGACAAGACTGTAGGTCGTCCATCCAGTCAACTTGTGGAACGGTACAAACTCGTCGCCTTCCTCAACCGCTGCGGCCTTCAACGCGTCGCACGGCCATACATCGCCCAAAGGCACGCCACCCAGGGATGTGCGATCCGATGGCCATATGGGTGCGAGCCCTGTGATGAGAACGTGCCAGAGGGCTGCAAGGGGTACGCGACGGGTCTTGCCATCAAGAATAGACTCGGTCTCGAGGTAGTCTCATAAAAGACATGGGGTAAGGTGTGTGACTTGGAAGCGCCCTACGTTGAACGAACGCACCCAATATATTTCCTGGGCGGCCCCCGTCCCCAAAGAAAACCGGGTTCTGCTTGAGCGCTCGGCTAAGGTTTTTCAAAAGAGATGCCCGGCCCTCGAGTCCGACCATAGGATTGGAGGCGTCAACTTGCATAGCTTGCGCAGTCCTTTCCACGGTAATCTGTGCCAGTCCAGCCGCTGTGTGGCAGCCTCGTGAGACCGGCTCTAGAACGCGACAAAATCTGGACATACCATCCACCCTGTACGGCTGCGCACGGTCACCTGAGAAGAACCCCTCTTGGAACATGTGCATACTAGCGACTCCAAGCCCCTCTGAGCGCGTGAATTTCTGTTCTGACACCGCCTCGTAATAGGCCCAGGCATTGCCGGCGCCTGCGTCGAGGAGTACGGAGACGAGGAAGAGATCCAGTAGGCGTTTGGTGACTTCTTTGATATCTGGGGGCGAGGCAGACGCGTTCCATTTCTCGATCAAGGGTTGGACGCGAGGCAGACCAGCGTCAAGGTGCCGCCATCGTCCATGCGGGGGTATCTGTTTGCATGAGCGCAGATCGAGGGCAGTTGGAGACGGGCAATGACTTACCGAGGCGTAGTCTTTGCCAAAGTCTCGCTGCAAAGGGTCAGATGAGCGTCCGTCTGCAGTGGAAATGGAGTGACCTCGATGATCTTGATACAATAGTCTGCCGCCACGTCCTCTCTATCCGAGTTGTAGTCGAAGTACTGCAGCTTGCCCTGTTTAGCTAGCTCGTAGACTCGGCCGCATCTTTCTCGTATTGCAGGGAGCGTGCGCAGGTAGGCGATCTTCTGTTCGAGCGAAAGACCCGCGTTGGCGATGTTCATGGTGGTGAGGAACGAGCAAGGAGCCCGAATGGAGATAAGTGTGATAATGGAATCTCCGCTCCGCTATCGCGAATTCTTAGATCCTCTGGAGTTTCCGCATTGTTGGATGTGCCTTATAAAGGGCCGCATTCACTACTTGTCGCCTTCGCTCGAAGCGATAACGCCGCACAGTTGATACAACCCAAGCAATTCGTCAAGTCGTCAACGGCTTGTCATAAGTTACATGCATGTCAGACCCCCTTACTAAATTCGTACATCCAGCGCTAGAGATTATGAACGAGAAATGAAGGCGAGACAAAAAGACAGTCGTGATGTAGACAAATTGCCCCAGGACGGCATCTAGCTTTCGGCGCTTCAGCGCCTGGAGCACATGCTGCACTGGCCGTTGCTCGTTCCCGTGATAGTCGTCTGTGCAGGGGCCATCCTGACCGCTCGAGTCAATATGTAACGAGACCATCACCAGCGCTGAATGGTACATACCACTGTGCACAGGTGCTGGAACAATTGTTGCAGGGTACGACGTGGCTAGCACTGTACCTGCAGTTCGTTCGACCACAGTCCCTCTGCAGAGAATTCATCCTGTCAGTCGCGACGAATCAGGGATGGACAAGTAGGGCTAACCTGAGAGAATGTCTGTGGTTCCTCATGGCCGCAAGCAAATCGCACCGCGCCGACCTCTCTGTAGCACATCGTCGACGATGGGAGAAAGAGATTCGATAACGGAGGCAATGGGCGGAGAGCTAGACAGTGAACAGGGTAGCAGGGTCGGGTTGCTAACTTCAATGAGAGGACCGCAGAGTCTTTTTAACCATCCGCCTTCACGAGTCCATGCATGGGTTGAAACGAATGTCATCTTCGGGTACAGTGACCTGCCAGCTGTCGCACAACGGCGCTGTGACGGTGGACGCACGGATCATGCTGACGAGAAGACCACACCTTTGACCCCGCCCTCATCGATCCGTAGATCGACCTGACGGTTGTGAAAGAGCCGGAATGGTCACCAAACATATCCATACAAGGACGTTCTTGAGGCCCCGCTACCACAGCGCTTGCAAATGCACCGTGTAGCTGGTGAGTTCGAAGATGATGATTGTAGTCAGGACGTACGGCCAACACGAGGGGACACGTTATCAAATTGTGGGGAACGTGCTTCACAACAGAGTTAAGCATTGTAGATGTCATCGAACCATGGTGCGATCGCAGGCTCCGAGGCAGGTCACCAGAGCCAGGAAACATATACCAAAAAGGAAGTGGGGAAACACGCGGTCTGGGATAATCTTTGATAGCTGATAAGATCAGTCAGTCAGGACAATAGTGTTCAAAACGTCTCCGAAACATACACCCACAAACACATCTGGAATAGCTGTATTATTAGATGGCTGTATTAGAAGAACAGAGTTGAGAGAGCGTGTTGGCCTTCGGTAGGCACCTGCCGGGGCCAAGGCTTCGTCTCAAGACACGAGCAGGACTCAGGAACATGAACACATAATGCATTGGATGACCTCGAAGGGCTTACCAACACCACACCAAGTAGACACACCAGGAGATTGCGAATGGCAGGAAGGGTTGAAACGTCAATATTGTTTTAGATGAGTGCACCCTCCCATAAAAATTCGATGCGAACTGATTGGCGAACTGGCAAGAGATACTGATTCAGCAGCGCCTTGGGCGATGTGAAAATTCCGTTTTGAAAGGTGGAGGGGCCTTGAAAAAATAAGGCTGGGTTTCCAGCAGATGTATCATTTTGCATACCGCTCAGAGGGCTCGAGGAGAGTTTGATCCTTTGAAATGCGAGTTATTGATGTGATGCCACGAAGTGCCACAGTACATTCCAGTGGAACCGCCGAATGGGTTAGAGAAGCCTAAAGTCGATTTGACTTGACTCTATAACCATCGATGGCACCTTAGCTCGGACAATTGCAAACTGACCAAGTCAGACATATGCGCCAATGGTCTGTCCGATCAACAAGCCGAACATAATGCATAGCGAAGAGAAACATACCTTCGTCACATCCGCCTACCTCCTTTGGTACAGCACCGATCTTGAGAGAAACAAAGTTCAAGACGGCGGTTGAATCCATGCTCAGAAGAATGAATTGGACGAATATAGCACAGTAAGCAGTCTGATGACTAAGATCCAGATGCAAGCGCAAGGTACACAGGCGAGCGTAGCAAAAATAATACCACGGGGACGGTCAATCCTTGACAAGTCGTTGCCAAGGCATAGCGTTTCGCCCCCTTGTGAGAGGCAAAGAGAATGGCACAAACAAGGTGAACCTAGATTTCAAATGGCTTGTAACGTATGAGATTATCTCGTTTGAATATGCCGTGATTCCCCGGGTACATCTGTCAGTAGGCTGCAGGTTCGAATTGGCCCGAACGTCCGCAGCGCACATGGATTGAGACAGTCGCACAAAGAATCATTCTGGAATGATAGACCAAAGATGATCGTACACGAGGAGATCGCGAGGGCGGAACTCACCCAACGTGAAGACATTGATCAAGAGCGACCCACGTACGCAGCCAGTCAGTCACTCACGCACAATGATACAAGAAGATTTTTGGTGCCGACCCGTCCTTCATAGTAAATATGATGCAATTAGTAAGCATGCCTGAGTGCCATTTTGATATCAGAATAAACATCAACGTTTCATGTGACAGAGCATTGAAAATTCAAATCTTTGTCGACTCACGATGTTCCCAAACTTGAATATGAGCTCTGGCAGTCAAAACACATCAGCAACGTGTCAGACTGCAGAATATACACCAAGCGACTGAAGCTACCAAATTCAAGAACACCTGAAGAGTCATGAGGGCTCATCGGCAGATGGACATGGTTCTCTACCCCATATTGCTGGAAGATCGAAGTATGCCTCGTGAAAACTGCGTCGAGACCTGTGAGGGAAGTCCCGTCACGCAACAACTCAGTCAAGGAAAGGAAGCTATGAGTGCACAGAGAACTCCGATGATTGAGTGATAAAGAATCCTGGCGATCGACGAGGCGCACATAGAACACTACGCAAGATGAAATGCGAAGTAAGCACTGCCTGACCATCTTACATAGAATGTCCGTCCATTGCCGAGTTCGCAGTCGCATCTCATTCAATGCTTGGCTGCTGAGGTAGACGTCCATGAGGCGATATGAATTGTCGCATTGATGTCATGGCATGAGGTTTATGCTGAGCACCGACGCAAGGAGGCTGTCATTATGTCCTTAACGATTCAGATTCGGTGGGGATACGACGCTTCTACTGCCTACGGATGCATCGATAAGATCGAGATGTTCGAGGAAGAACGCGGGGAAGCCAGCCACCTGTATGTCGGACGCCTAGGCACTGAGCGAACAGTAGAGGTGTATCTGATCCCGAGGTTCCGCAAGTAGCCAGGTTATACAGAGCGCCGAGAACCGTCACGCGTGCAAAGACTTGCCTTCTGCGGCGATGTATGACGCGCTTTGCTTCTCACGCGTGTGCACCATCTACCACAATTTCACGCCAGGTCGCCAATTTCCGAATGAGGGGTGCTTTGGGAGAGAGAAAAACAGACCTAGTCCCTAAATAGCTGTCCTGGAGAGCATCCCGTGAGCAAACACGCTGCATGTCCACGACGAATGGGGAGGAGTATGGCAGAACGATATCCGAGAAGTACGATCCTCACTTCAGTTCATCTGTAGACTTGCCCCTCGTCACCTGAGTCCTTGCCCTCCCAGAAGACGTGTTCCCACCAGCGACCTTCTACTCTCACAGCTTTCACAGGCCTGCCCGCCGCGTTGGGCACCCCCGTTCTTTCCAGCACCCATAACTCGTGGACACCGACACGACGCAAGTAGTTTCGCAATCGTCCATAGTTCAGTCCGACAGCATGTGGACCATGGCTGTCGTCCGAAAGGGAAAAGCGACCTCCACATCGTCGAATGAGCTAGATGCCAAGATAATTCGATGAAGACGATGGTCCAGATGGTGCAGCGTGAACAAGGCAAAGAGAGCGCACCTCAACTACGTCTTCGCCGGGATATGCCCCATCCCATCCCTTCCTGAAAGCCGCGGCATTGGCCTCGAACAATGCTCCATAGCTCACAGCATATTTGACGTTTCGCTCTAATCTTGCCCAAGCGCGTGTATAGTCGTGAAGGCGGAGTGCGGGGGAGTAAAGTCGGCAGAGATCGATGTGGCCGATGATTTCAGGGTGAACCCGCTGCATGAGTTCGTGTTGGGCGTCGAAGTACATTTCCAGGAATGCACATTGGCGCTTATGCTCGAGATTGGTTTCATCAACACCCTCGCTATCGAGAGAAAGAGGGATGGTCGCGATGCAGCGCTGATATGTTTCGAGGTCAAAATCGATGGGAATGCCGTTGACATGGTGTACGGAGCCGATGAGATATTCTACTTGACCTTGGTTGCGGTCTATGAGCTTTAATAGCTGATCAAGGTCGACGGGAGTTATGTATTCCGTCTCAAGACCAACAAGGAGGGTGATTTGAGACGAATACAGCGACTTTAAACGGTGTGCTTCTGCAAGATACGCATCAAACTGATCCGAGAGGCTCTCGATGGACAGCTCAGACTGAGAAAAAAATTATTCTGTTGGATAAATTTAATTGCTGCAGACCGCGCACCTCCTCTGGGTAAAGGTCCTGGGGCCTGTAACGGGGTACATGCTCTGTCAAGCCATATGTTTCAAAGCCCTGGTTGATAGCCTCTCGAACGACATCCTGCAAAGCACCGACGGCATGTTTGCAGAATTGGCCAGAGTGCGAGTGGTGGCTGTGCGGCATCGTCGAGGTGGGAGCGGCAACGGTGGCGCTCCAGGCGAATTCCGGGGGGTTCCGGGCGGCGTTTGCTCGGTCACTTGACGGCAACTAGCGGCAACTCAACGCCACCCCACGCCACCAGTACGCCACCTCAGATCAGATTTCGCCTGTTAAATCTCACTCCAATCTCAGTAACTCATTCGTACGCAGCACGAGGCCGCGGACACACGACTCTACTTACAACGCCACCAAGGTCGGGAGTTTGTAATCCGAGGTACATATGTCTCATGTTAAATATATGGTATCGTTCACTTGGTCACCACCAATGATAAACAACCGCCACATTTGGTGGTTCCAGGCCCAAAATACAATTTATTGAGAAAAAAAATCCTGAGCATGTCTTGAAAAATGAGGTTATAAAATTTCGAAAAAAAATCCAATTTTGGTTCCATTCAAACGTGACGAGTAGTGTTGAAAGGTAGTGTTATGAGGCAAGTTGAGACCAATTCGAATTTTCAACTCGACACGAACTAAATTTTGGAGGGTGTGGCAGTAGCTGTTGATTGATTGTATTATTTCTGGGTAATCTTGCTGTATTATATAATTAATTCACCAAATCGAGTCATTTCCCGTTTTGGAGCTCGCCCATTTTTGAAGATATCGAACATCTATCTTGGGGATCTCTTCTCCTCGTGAAAAGACGTCAATTGGCAAGGCAGATAGTCAATTGGGCCTCAATTCGTGGCCCTAGACTCGGTGTTCGAAACATGCGATGACTAAGTGAACGGCACCATAGAGGAGTTCGTAACGGTGCGATGCGACATGAATGACTACCGTGGCACACGGCAGCATGATTTGACAGTGGCTTGATGCTCATTAATATCAGACTAGTTGACCCTTCCCTCTCGTGCGGATATACTGTAGGCGTGAAATAAACATCAACGAGAACCCAGTCGATACCACAATCTAAAGATCGAGTTTGAGTTTCAAGTCACGAATGTGAGAAATGGTACGCACACCGCAGAATACGATGACCTTCCACCATTGATATTTCTGCCCAAGAAGCGCTCCATCGATCGGCGTCCCGACAAGCATAGCGATACCGACAACAGAGAAGGCAACGCCCATTCTAACCCTGCGCAGCAAACATTGTTAGTTGAAAACCAACGAGCGCAATTTGAACAACTCGCCCTATCTCAGAGATGTTCCGTGCGAGGCATGCGAGGAGGTTCGGGATCAGAGAAACGTCTAGAGAAAGAAGTGAGCCGAAAGGGTCGAAAGGTAGACAGAGGAAATAATTTCATACAAGCACCAGAGCTGAATCCGAATAGAAGCGATACGACGATGACTCCAGCCGATGTTTTCGCACCGAATATTGCCCAAAGCAGTATCGCGGAAGATGCCATGCAAGGCAAGAGCATGTTGTACACCCCCACGATATCTGCTAGAAAGGTAGGGAGGAGGCGGCCGCCCACACTGCCGGCATTCACGATGGCCAACTGGGGTGTAGTCAGCAACAATGTGAAAGACCGTGAAACATCGACGTACAGTGTAGAATGCCAGTGTTTGATCAATACCATGCTCAATGGTCCAGAGTTGCATGTAGAAATCTGCACGAAAAGAGTAATTAAAAGCAATGTCGCCACAATAGTGAGAATCCTACATGGGAAGAATAATCCGAGATTGGTGCAAAATGCCCTGGTGGCGACATGAATACTTGAGATCGATCTAACGGGAGGCGGCGGATGACTCACCCAGCCATGGCGGTCATGTACGGCCAGTCAGTCAAGATGCGTTTCAGATCGTCGCGAGAGAACGAAGATCTGGCCGATTTTGGAGGCAAGCGCGTGCGCACCATGAGATTCGCAAGGATCAGCAAGACGGCGACCATAGCCGCCCCTATCCTGACACCGTTGGCGAATCCCAGGTGCGACCGGAAGAGTCTATTGAGCATGATAGGGATGACGATCCCACCCGCGGAGGATCCAGTGACGACAATGCCGGTCGCCAAGGCTCGACGACGGCGAAAGTGATGCGGAACGATGGTGAGCGAGGGAAGGAATAGCATGCCTTGGGCAACGCCCATACCAACTCCTTGTGAAAGAAACACCTAGAGTCTAGAGTCAGATCAAGGGATGTCAGAATCGCAAAGGGCTCGCCTGATAATATTGGTTTTCTTTGACGAGCGATAGCATGAACATTGAGAAGACGTAGAGAATAGAGCCCGAGATGCACAGATGATGACTGTCGAGTAAGTCAGATCCATCATGCAAATGAGAGTCAGGTGGGACGCACAAGTATCCAGCATCGAATACCCTTCCGACGAGAACTCCCGGGAAGTATTGCATGGCCAATTGAAAGCTTCCAATCCAGCTACAAGGTTCATAAGATCCAAAGATAGAAGGATGCCGGACATAAGGGGCGCCTACCTGATGTCGGAGGCCGTGTACTTGGTAAGGAAGGTCCTCGTGTAGTAGTCTGCACGGCGGCATCAGCGGGTGAGAGTTGTGAGTGACGTTTAGCTGACCTTGATAGACACCGAAGGCATTGATGTAGCTGCGGGATAAGTGTGAGCTTCAGCGGGGCAGATCCAATGTGACTGGCTACCCAAACGTGCAGAACTGGAACAGCCAGCTGATGGGCATAAGCCGAACGGTCAACAGAGGAAAGCGAGAAAAAGAATGCTCACGCTCCGGCGATGGTGATCCAGGCATCAAAGCCACCGTCTGGAGGGACGATCTCGGACGGGCTGGGAGGGTCGGAGGTGGGTTGAACGCCGACATTGTCGCGATCGCCCTTCTCGTGGTCGACGACCGAGCCAGCCACGGTCTGATGATCTACGGGAGACTCGGGAGGAGCGGATGGCATGGGGGCTGGACGGGACATCGCCGGAGAGGGTTGAACACGGGCTTGAGCGACGGAGGGGAAGGTCGTGGAGGAGAGAGAGGGAGGAAGAGAGGGTTATATAAAACGGGATTCATCAGAGTGAAAAAGGAAGCGTTGAGGCCCCGTTGGACGGAGTGATGGCAGACAGCTCGGCTCGGGCCTGTCCAGTCGAATGCACTTTCTCCGCGGGCAGTCGTGGTCGTCGATCGAGAACAGGGCGTGTGTTGAGCACATTATCCATTAATTAGCCTCGTCAAATTGAACACCGTTGGGCTGCGTGGACGGCTGTGGGCGGTCGTGTCGAGGGTCCAGCCGCCGGCTGGTTCGCCGGGTGTTCCTGTTGTGCATCCGTTCCCACCGTCACCGCAACTTGCCTCGCCATCGCTGCGAATCACTGTCAGTTTCCTGTCATTTTGTCGTTCTCCAGTCTCCAGATCCAGAGACATCCCGCCCGCTCAACACCCGCATCAAGCCATCCACGAACATGTCTGCCATTTGGTTCCACAAGACACCGTTTCGGTCGGGCTGTGGGTCCACCAAAAGGGGTCACCGGGCATGCCGTACATTCGTAGGAGCCGAGACCGCCTGTTCGACTTCGTAGAACTCTCTCAGCCTGTGACTCATCCAATCCAGAATTATCAAATCGACTGACCTTCCTTGCAAAAGCGCAAGCTATTGACACTTGAGGATTCCCGTAGGATGAGTGCTTTCAACGACGATCAGAAGGCAGGTTGGCACCCTGGATTTCCGGTGACTTGCTTTTGGCTACTTTTAGTCCAGGGCGGCAAACCGGCATTCTACCGGCGTTTCACCTCTCCAGCGGCCAAATCCAGAGTTGCTAACAATTCAAATTTCGTGGACTGCGCTGGACTGCGTTGCACCGCCAGAGCAAGACCTTGCCTAACCTTGCCCACGAGATAAACACACAAGGGCCAATGATCACTGCAGCCGCCGCGTCAACTTCAAATCTCTCGTGTCCACTCCTGCAGGAAACGTCCCTCGAGAGGTACGGAGGCCCTTTGAATTGACAATCAGCGCCACTCTATCTACGTGTACTCGTCGCGACGATGATGTAGCCACTAGATCACCCAGGATAATAAACGTGGGACAAAGAGGTGCCCCTGTTCGCTTTCCACGATGTAGGTTCGTAGGAAATGAACCGCTCAGGAGGTCGATGAGAATCCGGAATATTCACATTTTTCCAAAAACTTCACGTCACCGCTGTGGAAGATGCCCTGTGAGCGTCGGAATGATCTCAGATACGTGAAGAAACATACTGTACTTGGGGCCACCTCCACCCTCTGGCACAGTCCACTGAATGTCTTGGCTCGGAACCTTGATGTCGCATAGTTTGCAATGGATGCAGTTCTGCGTGAAAGCTTCAGTATTGAGAGTTCACTTCCGACGCAGCACACACCTGCGCATTGATAACGAGCTTATGACCGCCCCATCCTTCGCTACCAGCGGCGCCAGCTTCATCCTCTACATACTCGTAGACCTGAGCCGGACATGCGCGACCCAAGAGGCCCGCGTACTGCCCGACGTTGACTTTGACATGTTCACCCCTTACCTCTGAGCTCTCGGAGCCACCCTCAGCTCGGACACGAAGATGCGCTGGCTGATCCTCAGCATGATTTGTGCCCGTCAACGCGAGTGCGGTCAAGAGATCAGTCGAAAGCGGTGGTTGTGGAGGAGGATAGTTGATCGGCGAGTACTCCGCAGCAGGGCGAGTGTGTGCAGCATCTGTTGTCCGCTTAGAATTCCGGAACGTCCATGGCGTACGGCCTTTGAGCAACAAAGAATCCAATCCAGAGTAAGCGACCCCGCCAAAGATGCCTAGACGAGTGGTAAACGACGGGCGCAGATTGCGGACTTCGTACAGGTCTTGGTAGACCCAGCTCCGTTCGAACGCGGTCTGATATGCGCTCAGATCTGTCGGCATCTCATCACTCGAGGACGCTTCTACGGCCTCGAACGCTGCCTCTGCTGCGAGCATACCTGTCTTCATGGCATTATGAGTCCCTTTGATTTTAGCAACGTTGACGAATCCGGCCGAGCATCCAATGAGAGCACCGCCTGGAAAGTGGAGTTGAGGGATAGACTGCAGTCCGCCTTCGTTGATGACACGTCCTCCGTAAGCCACTCGCGAAGAGTCTCCAGACAACAGCTTGGCGAAGTAGGGATGATGTTTCATACGCTGCAAACTCGTCGGTTAAGTATATATCACGGCAAATCACATGCACTTACCTGTAACTCCTTATAGGGGCTGATATACGGGTTTGCATAATCCAGCCCGATAACCAACCCCAGACTGACGAGGCCATCCGCCATGTGATAAACCCAGCCACCGCCGTATGTCCGCCAATCTAAAGGCCACCCCATAGTATGGACGACTTCGCCTGGGCGGTACTGACTCGGGTCGACACGCCAAACTTCCTTCACGCCCATCCCATACGTTTGAGGATCGGAATCCTGCTGCAAATCGAAGCGTCGCACAGCTTGCTTCGTCAACGATCCTCGCGCGCCCTCGGCAAGCAGCGTCACCTTGGCACGGAACTCCATGCCAGGTTCAAAAGAATCTTTCGGGCGCCCACGGCGGTCAAGGCCGACGTCATTCGTCCGCACACCAGCGATGCCTTGTCCGTCCTGCGTATATACAAGCGACGCACCAGCAAAGCCAGGGTAGATTTCGACACCAAGCTCTTCAGCGATGCCGCCGAGCCAGGCGGTGACTTGTGAGAGAGATACAATATAGTTGCCCTTGTTAGACATCTGAGGAGGGTGTGGGATGGGGAAAGACGCGCTTCCTGTCAACCAGCGCATGCTAGATGAGGTGGCAGGCTGTTTGAAAGGGTGCTCGGGTCGGGAAGACCAGTCCGGGAGGAGCTCATTGAGTGCGCGAGGCTCAACGACAGCACCTGATAGTATATGCGAGCCTGTGGGAGAGGTGTTGTTCAATTTGTTAATGTCGAAACGAAGGGCGAATCGATGGTGAACGACCTCAAACTAGTGACGCTACACTCACAGTGGGAGGATATGATGGAGACGACTAGACTTACCGATTTCACCACCCTTTTCAAGCACTACCACTCGGATTTCCCTTCCCTTCTCTTGCTCGAGCTGCTTCAGACGAATAGCAGCACTGAGCCCAGCAGGGCCCCCGCCGACAATGCATACATCTACGTCGTCCGTGGCACGCTCAAACGAGTTCGGATCGAATGGTTCGTTTCGAACATGGGTTGAAGCGCGAAAGCTGCGCGTCAAAAAGCGGGACGGGGCCCTCGACGGACGGGCTATTCGCAACATTGAAGAGAACTGGAAGAACGCAACGGCAAATCAGAACGGATGAATTCGAGTGCAAATCACGTGTACGGCCGGTTGGCCGGCTGGCCTATCAGAGACCCGGGCCTCTCAACCCGCGACGTGCCTCTTCCGACCGACTCACATCAATGGCAGGGACATGCCAACCGGTATGTCTTCCGCTCCTCTGAGATACGCCGATGGAGCTTATGTCCCCTGATATTTCAAGTCCCATGATCTATTCTCTGACCTGCTCACTGGGGGCCTCATCCTTGGCCTTTGCATCTCATATGCGCCCCAGGTAGGCGATGCACTCCAATGCTCTTAACCTCTTTGACGCCAAGCGTATCTTCAGCACGCTCGAATTATCAGATTAGGATCCTCTGAGGGGATCAACCCCTGGTTTCTCCTACTCGGGAGTACCTCCGCAGCGTCTGGGATGCTCAATATGTACGCCCGTCGCTGCTCTATCTCGATACTTCGCCTAACTCCGGTGGAGGATCATCATGCAATGGGGAGTTTTGAAGTGCTGCAAGGTCTTTGTGAGTCCTCCGAATGCTTCCGCATCCGCATCATCTCAGCGGCTTCTGTCAGAGTTTTGGAAACTGCCTCGAAACGATCGCAGGTGTGGTGCAGGTCATCGTACAATGGTTTCTGTTCACGATGATGTAAGCCTTGTTTGCATGCTCTATTGCTCGCCTCACGCGTGTCTCTCTAGCATGGTGCTGTACATGATATACTACCCCCAACATCTGAAATACGGAAGACCACGAACCACTGCACCACTGACTACGGAATTGAAGAAGGCTAATCACTGGTCACTTTCTGTCATCCTGTGCTGGGCTGTATTGATCCACCTGTATGTTTTTGTGTAATATGGTGTAACTTCTCGAGCGACTGACTTGCATGCAGTATCTTCATCGCCATCGTCTCATTTCATTTCATATCTGCCTCGCCTTCCGATCCCTCAGGTACTGTTCGCTCTCCGCAACTCTCTTTGTGGGCGACCTTCCTTGGCCTGAGTTCCGGATTTCTCGCTGCCCTACAATATGGTCCTCAGCTCGTGCACACGTATCACACGAAGCTGGTAGGTGCCCTCAGCATTCCGATGATGATGATCCAAACCCCGGGAGGCTTCATCATGGTGCTCAGCATCGCGCTGCGGTTTGTGTTCATTCTATGTCAGGCCATCGATTGCTGATCTTTGTCTATCGTCAGACCGGGTACTAATTGGACAAGTAGATCAGTCTTTTCATCATGAATCCCAAATATCTCACTGCTCTCCTTTCAGGTTGGATCCAATTCCTTGTGGCGGCCATAATGCAAGCCATTCTCCTGACCATGTGCATCGCTTGGAAGTATCGACAATCTCGCTTGGGTATAGACGATTTCGGCCAACCCTCGGTCTCGTACGTGTCTGACCCACACGAGTCTACTATTTCCAACGCAGGTCAAACCGTCACCGGAGTAGATGGAAGGGCTGTCCTTGCAGATGACGGAGGGAGTAATGAAGAAAGTCCGTTACTAGGCGGCGGAGAAGCACATAAGTAGGGGCTTCTGATATCAGCTGTGTGGAACGACTTATCACTCTACTCTACTCTAATGCACATATCCTCCAAAATCTTCCGCTTCCCTGTCATTCCATCCTGCATCCTCCCTCATCGACTTCACCTCGTTACGGATATACTACAGCTTATCGCTATGAAACGAACACGAAGCTTCTTCCCTTAACCCATCGCTCGTGCCGTTAGGATATTCATCGTCCCACTTCGCTTATTATTCAGATGCGCTCACACATCGGTGTTATGCAAATGATCCACGTTACCAGTCGCGTGTACGACCCAAGTGGACACCTCTTAGCTTAGGTCTCGCCTGATGGTATAGACAAGACAGCCATGTTTCCACTTATTGATGTACAACTATCTACTGTGAGTCTGGAGCTGAGAATTCGAAGAGTTTGCCAACCATTTCCTCGTCATGTTTCCTAATAATCTTGGCTTCACCGACCACGCCAACCACATCCGTGAATAGGTCGATGGAAATCCGACGCGGGTATTTAACCTTTCCTTCCGCACCAGCCCAATCATAGTCGATCAGCTTCACCGACCCGCTGTCGTCGATTATCAAGTTTGGTGCCCGGATGTCACCGTGCACCCATCCTGCATCCCACAATGTCCTCAAGACGGCCACAATCTTGTCGGCAACTTCCTTGGGCACTACAGAGCCCCCATACTCGTCTTCAAGGTTCTTCCCACTGACTGCATCCATTGCTACTATCACCATCCCCTTGAAATGGTGGCCCGGAAACATGTCCGCCAGCGGAGCACAATGATGCAGGTTAGGTGCCAGCCCGCGCGATGCCATGAACCGATGCACTTCGTCGCCATAGGCAGGCACGAACTTCACCACAAGCAACTCGCTTAGCTGCCCTACATCTGTTTTCTGCACAAGGAACGTCTTGCATCCCGCATGGGCTTGAAGTCCCCTGAGGTACACAAACTGGGTCACCTTGCCCTCATGTTCAAAACAGTTGATCCAAGGGAAAAATCGAGTAAAGGATGGGATTCCTAGACTGACGTTCGTCTGGTACCAATTGGTGAGTGCCTCAACGGCATGGCGCAGGGAGACAAACACCTGGGCCAACCTCTCTACACAGAGGTGGCCTAGATTGTTGTGATCATCCTCACCGCCCGCACTATCCTCGGCGATGTGCATCCAGCCTGTGAAATGTTGCACGACTACCTTGTCAAGCAACATGGCCCCCATGATGCACATGTGAGGACCCGCGATCGCAACCAGGATGCTCGGGCAACAACTCGCCTCAACAAGTTTACGGCGCTGCACATCGGTGGGTTACCAAACATATGCGCGATTAGTGTTCATGCCCACACTTACCGATGAGTCCATCCAATAATGCAGGTAAGAGAGCTTAACCTGTACCGCAGGATCCATGGCTGTCTTTCCCAACTCCGCCTTTTCCTCAATGATTAGAGGTGCTACGGTGCCCTCTGACGTTGTCGAGGACAACGACACGGAAACGCAGTGGTCAGCAGAGGTATGATTGTTGTTGACCAGTGAGACCAAGTCCTTGCCAATCAGCTTCGCCACAAGATCATTCGAAGTGTCAGAGCGCACCCCCTCGGCACTCTCCACTTGAGACAAGCTCGACATTAGATCCATCGTCAATCGGATGTCATCTCTCGTGGTGGGTGTGTCCTCGTTATAAATTTCCCTGCGTAACAGCGCAAAGACTGGATTATACAGCTCGATCGGAGGGGCTTTGTTGTCCATCCCTGCTAAGCTCCATCGCCCATCGTGGATTCTAACTGGCCCTTGTTGATATTTGCTATAAGCTCCCGCCTTGGCAAGGGATGAAGGAGGTCCCCACTTCGGCAGGAAGAATCGGATTTGGTTTAAACCTGATGGCACTTCTCAGCAGTATGGAAACCACATGATCAGTCAAACTTACGGTCCCAATACCACTGTTTCGAAGGCTTCTCGGGAAGTGGTTCGGATACTAGCTGAGCTTCGTCCTCCGGTTCGATTGTTGGTATCACACGACCCAACTTCACTAGGAAATGTACATGACCAATAGGAATGACTTGCCTAGCAGTCAAATCAGCGGTCCCCTTGTCGAGGGCCTACCTGAGAGCTCATTATGAAATCCCATGTGCCCATGGCTGATAAAGCATCATCGTCATAGTCTTTAGGTACAACGGACCCGCGTTTTTCTATTCCAACCCACATGCCACCTGAACTGCGAAACTCAATGCGCATCAACTTCCTTGTGGTTGGCTCACACAACGAGAAATGTCGAATCTGGACCGTGCATACCACTGAGGCTGTCGTGTATCCCCCTAGCAGAGAAGGCTTGATCATCGAGACACTCATCTTCGAGATACAAGAGAAAGTTCATACAACCTTGTTGATACGTTTTGACCCCACGGACATCGACCTTTACCATGTCAGTGCACACACCTCAATCTGTGTGCCACCACTTAAAAGGTTACCAGCCCAGAGAATCCCTCCGTGTGGAAGACGTTAAGCCCGAATACAGGACTCAATACGAGGATATGATCAGTACCAGCACCTTGTGTCAGGGGCCAGCACCCATAAGCCTTTATTACCCCGACAAGAAGAAACTCATAGGTCCTGCACGCGATAGGGTTCTAAATTTCTGATTCTAGGTCGAAGAAGTTGGCGGAGCAGAACAAGATGCTCCATGAACACTCGGACTCGATCAGTTCGCAGGCTGCCCGCATCCGGCAAGGTTAGGATGCAAGCTCTGCGCCGCCTGCGGAGGCCGAGCCCACCGGCGACGTGGACGAGAAGCTTTCCTATCTGCGCTGGGTGATCGCGTACTTGCGGAGGTAGAAAGAAATCGTCGAAATACAGCTGAGCAAGCAAGAGAACGCTCGCTTGAAGCTTCAGGCCTCTCTGTGCATTTCGAGGAGGGCATCGTGCGCGCCATCCAGTCCGCTTGGCAGACCTTCTACGAGTAGCAGTCGTGCGTGCCACCTTCAGTCCAAGACACATGGCGCACACTCGGCCAGCACATAGTGTCCCTCGCACTTGGCCAGGAGTGGATATCGTTCTCCGCCCGCTCCGATCACCTCCTCGACCCTGAGACGCCGCCGCGCAACCCCGAAGCCATCAACTATTCCTCCAAAAAAGACCCTTCGGTGATCGCCGCGCACAAAGGCTACCTCGAGCGCAAGAAGCGCTCCACGCGCATGTACCGCGAGTCTTACTATGTCCTCACCCCCACCGGCTTTTTGCTCGAGTACTCGTCCTCCGACCCAACACAGTCCACTTCTCCGCTCTTTAGCCTCTTTCTTCCTATGTGCACGCTCAGCCACGTCTCCGCACCTACCGAGAAGTCGCACAAGTTCCACATCGAGGGCAGGCACGACGGTTCTGGTACGACCAAGACAGGCTCGCTGCGGATATGCAGCGGCCAGCACGCGTGGAGCTTCTGTGCACGCAGCCACGAGGACATGATGGAGTGGTGGAACGACGTGCACATGCTCTGCGAGTGTTATCTCGTTGCCAGCGAGCACATTGAGCGCAGCGGGCCAGTCGCCGCCGCCATGCGTGCTGCCGGATACCTCAGTGAGGAGGAGGGTGACGACGACGAAGGAAGCAGCGTCAAGGAGGAGCAGGATGATGGCGAGGGCGAAGAAGAAATGTATTATGAGAGATTATGAGGCAAGGTAGGTGCTGGTGAAGACGCAGAGACGGAGCCGCCCTCGTATTCGCATCCACACCGCGCACGAAGGCAGCGGGCTTTAGCGCAGGCCGAGCCAACAGCAACAGGAGAAGGCGCCGGAGGGGCGTGCACCGCACGCGGGGGCGCTGGACGATGGTGCGGGCCCGGCAGCGACGGAAGAGGGCAAGGTGGAGCCAAGTCAAAGCCGTCGCGGTGCGGCGTCGTCGCCTGGGCAGGCGCCGGTCGAAAATCGGTTCACAGGGGGGCTATGAATGCCAGTGCGAGCTGTGGATGCGGGGTTATGTATGTACTTTTCGATGTTCGATACTGCACCGTGGCTTCATTTACCTGGTCCTTGGGCTGTGACCTTTTTATGTATCTCCTACACAACAATCACCCGTCCGCGATCACCCCATGTTCATAGTCACTACCCTCGGCATCATCGAGCGTGAGAACACTGCCCTCCCCAACGCCTCCAACCTACCTGGTAGTGAGATCATCCCAAATTTCTTTCCTGCGCCCGCTTCTCACTCTCCTAGCACACAGCCCTTAAGTCGCGTTACTCCCGTCTCCAACTGATCCATTCGCTCGGTTTGTTCCCTTGGCACCCCTTCACGACTTATTCAAGCACGCACCTATCTCTTCGTGCACACCATCCTTCTCTCTCGACCAGTAATAGTTACACATGTTTTCCACGATGACCAGCACCGTTCAATTAGCCACCCTCGCAGGTATATCTCTGGATGATGTCCCTTGAGCGACACCCACCCTCATGCAAAATTTGATGACGTTGCATTTGTTGCCACGACCACCAGTGCCGACGAATCCATCTCGTCTATAGACATGCTCAACTCTTCAAGAAGACAACATCGACCTCGACTCTGCAGCCCAAGCGCTTCAACTCGAGCTGTGCAAAGGTCGCTCTCAGTGCCGCTCTCGTAAGTCTTGTATTCTCGTATCGTACAGATGGCGGACACCACTGCATTGTCCCCACACACTCTCATACACACGGCAGAAAGACACGACTGCTCACTTCCACGCATGTACAGGTCGTACTGCATGGGCATTTGTGAGTCAGAGGGGAAGTGCACGACGTTGGTGGTGTTCGCGACATGTGCAAGGATAGTGTCTATGATGGGGATGCCTGCAGGATCGGCATCACGAGCGCGTGGCGCAAGATGGAAGAGCGGCAAGGGCAGAGGTTATCTACACACAGTGCTGTCGGTTCACGGCCTTTGCAAGGGCATAGGTTCGCTGGCGGATGAGTGCAACACCGGTTGGTTTCTGCGCAACAAATTTCGAGGCGACACTCACCAGCGCACCCGCTTGCCTTTCGTTCTCTCTTAGCAACATCAAGTGCACTGCAAATACTGTACCACACGACAAAATTTCATATACTGCAGTGTCCTCTGTCGGCAGCACTATGCATGCAAGTGTATCAAAAGGTACGGCTTCCGCCTTCTCATCCCTCACCCATCCTCTCAATTTTGCTTATTCGTAGATAAGTACCCACTGTGCCGCAATTCTCATCGGCACGATCATCAGCAGTGAATACCGGAGCTCACTTTGAGCCTGATACGCACGATGGTAAGCATACTTCTCTGTTACCATGCTCCCAACTTCCTTGACGCTCAGATCGCGACCCCTAGTCGCATCGTGTTGAGTAATGTCATGCTAGAAGGATGGTTCATGTTGAACAATGCGAGGACCAGAGGGTGACAAGGGAAACCTGAGAGACGTGAGGACAATGCCGACAATACGCGACTGAAGCACGCGAGCGACGATAGACCTGCGCAACAGCAGGCGATAGATGACCATCAGCCACCCGCGAGCGACGCGCGATCAATTCACGCGACACACACGAGCGGAGCAGGATGCAGACAACATGCGGGTATTATTGGGCGACGCGGGCAACACTCGCAATGTACATGGCATGCGCCACACGGACACGACGACTTCCCACATCTCTGTCACCCTGTGCCACCACTTTTTATATTCTATTCTCGTCAGTTCACTCCATCTGCACCCCTCACCCTACCACCATGTCTGCAAAGCTCACGTCTGGTGCGATCCTCCCCGATCTCGCGCACGGTGTTGACTGATAACCTTCGGACTACCCTGCCTGGAAGAGAAGAATCTCTAGCAGCTGTATGACACAGAGAAGGATCAGCTCATCCTGAACGACCTCTTCGCAGCTGATCTCTCCCACTTCTCCCGCTTCTCCAAGGAATACACCGCTGCCTCCGACCCTACCAACAACTTCCTTCTCGATTACTCCAAGAGCCGAATCACCCAGCCTATTTTCGTAACTCTCTTCAACCTCATTCGCAAAGCCAGTGTCGAGCAGGTCCACGGCAAGGTGTTCATCGGTGAACACCTCAACACTAGCGAAGACACCCAGGAGACCATACGCGCCTAATTCCTAGACGCTGTCGATGGCCTTAGCGCCTCCCCCACGTCGCAAAGCACTTTGTTGCCCTCTCAGAACGAAGGAGAAGGTGGTCAATGTGTTCGATATTGCAAAGGAGAACATGTTCGGCTTCTGGGACTGGGTTGGCGGCTGCTATAGCTTCTGGAGCGCGATCGGCCTCTCGATCACGCTTGTGATCGGGTATGAACACTATGAGGCTCGCCTTTGCGGCGCGCACGACATAGACGCTCACTTCCTCACCGCACCACTCGAAAAGAACCTGCCCGTGCTCCTCGCTGTCATTGGGCTCTGGTACAACAATTTGTACTTTTACAGCGCGCGCTCCGGCATTCCCTTACTTTTCTTGTGGTTGAACCGTGTGTGTGCTTGCAGGCGCACAGACGTACGCGCGGCTCCGTACGACCAGCACACGCACAAATGTGCAGACTACTTACATTCTTGCGACATGAAGTCTAGCGGTAAGGTCATCACCAAGGGCAGCAAGCGTGTTGACTATCAGACCATCGTGCGTCTCTGTTCTCTTTATACACTATCCCCTGTTAAGACTGATTGTGCTACGTGTGCTGCAGCTGGTTATTTGGAGCGTGGCCAGCACGAATGGGCAGCACTCATTCTACCAGCTGCTGCACCAGGGTACAAATATTGTCCCGGCAGACTTTCTAGCCCCTGGGATGTCGCACAATCCACTCCGTGGCTCCCTGCACCGCCGCATCCTGCTCAGTAACTACTTCGTGCAGTCCAAGGCGCTGGTGTTCGGCAAGACCGAGGAGCAGGTCTGCCGGGTACGCCTCGCCCTCTGTCTACTTTCTGAGGATTTGCATGTGTTTTTTCGGCGGTGCTGACGAACGCTGACTGTCTTAGGAGGTAGGCTCGGGAGCGAACGAGGCGCTTATGAAGAGTAAGGTTGTCGAGGGCAACCGACCGAGCAACAGCATCTTCTTCCCGCTACTCAGGCCCGCGACGCTAGCTCATCGTTCTCTACGAGTCCAAGATCTGCACACAGGGCATCATCTGGGGCATCAACTCGTTTAGTATGTGCTTCCTTCGATGGGTGGGTGCATATGTGCAAGATGGGCATCGAGCTCGGCAAGGTGCTCGCGAAGATCATTTTAGCACAGCCGGAGAAACCTGCAGACGTCAAGGGCCACGACAGCTCGGTGTGTCATCATTTTTGCAGCACTGCATTCACTGTCAGAGCTCCTTGTCTGCTGTGAGCCGACAACTATCGTGTGCAGACGACTGGCCTTATTCGCTACTACAGAAGCACCGCAAGGAGTATGAGGCGGGTTGCAATGACAGCACGGAGAACGAAGCGGAAGCTGAAAGGAGAATGCCGTTTTCATAGACAAGAGACGAATGCAATTAACAGGGAAGGAAGCGACATTGCACGTCGCGGAGCTCAACTTTGCTCAATGACCCGCACGGCTTCATGGACAACCCTGTCCGTTCTCCCCACGCAATGTCGTGCCCCAGCCCGCGCCTGACTTCGAGCCATTTGACCACCCGCTCGCGCACATGATCTGCCTCATCATGGCGTACTCCGCTTCCGTCAAGGACCTATTCACAACGCATGACTCACTCGTGACGACGGGCTACCCGAACAGCCACAAGCTGATCCTTGTCATTGAAGACGGGGTGGTCAAAAGCGCTGATCGACAGCCTTCGACAGCTACTCTTCTATCTGCACTAGTCCTCAAGTATTCTTTCCGTCTCCAGTGCGCCCTGCCGACACATCGGTTAGTTCCAACACAGGTATCTTTCAATTGGACACGATCCTAAGACCTCTCTAAGGATTCTTCACCACGCGGATGCGAATGTGCACCCTCACACCCACACCGACAGGTCTACGAGCTCTTCAGCTCACACTAGATCGACCAAGGCACCGCATTTTGCTTTGGCCACTACGACGACTCCACCTAGGAGGCCCTCCTCATTGCCTGCACAGAGTCCAGCTAAAGTCAGGTCATTCTCTATCTGTGCCGCGGCACAAATTGGGTCTGTGTTGCGCGACAGGCAGCCCTAGACGGCGCACCGCCGCCGGCTTCACCGGCGACGCGCTCACTCTCCTTCGTCTTTTCTTTCCTGCCCATCACGCTGCCCTTCGACTTCACCAAAGGCCTTCATGGCAGGTCATTGTCTGACAGATCTGACACAGCAGACAGGTGATTGAAGTGACGCAGACGACACATACGAGGTCGGGTAGACAACACGAGGGTGAAGCGAGACTGACGCGAGCGACATGGATGAGACCGAGGTCACACGGGCGGCGTAGAGGACCTTGTCGACGTTCCCGCCACCGGTAAGTCTTTGTCTTTGTCCTCGTCCGCCATCCATCCCACTTGACGATCTACAAACCACAGGAGCCCTTGTCGACGACTACGAGCCGGCGTCCCAATCAACCTAGTTCCCTATTCCTCCTCTCCTCGCACTCCTTTTCGCGGTCTATCTTGCACTCTTACTCTTCGACACCCACCTTGTCTCACTCCCCGCACCAACACACTTTGGCCAGGTCGTTGTGAGTGCGGGATTTGGGCGCGATGTCTCGCAGAACCGCACGCTGAAGACACTATGGGCGCGCGATGCCGCGGATCCACCAGACGAGAACATGTATGAGCGCAGGCGATTCCTCTATTCTTCCCTCAAACACCGCTTCAGCGCATCTATCATCTCTCCCCAGTCACACGGTGTCTTTCTGTCCAAGTATGATCCTGCCGCCTCTACCTTATCAACATTATTACCAAGTCCCTGACTGTCTACCCCAGCACTACCAACGCGGACACCCTCCTCGTCACTTATATAGCCTCCACGGTCACACTCTCGATCTCTCAATCTTTCTTGTCCTGAACCCGAGGGCCATCATCACACAGTCCGAAGTCGCGGTCGGCGCGCCCGCGTGAGAGCTGATGTGGGCATCTGGGTTCCGCTTGTATTGGTGGGTCTATATAAACTAGGGCGGGTGTATTCAGTATGCCATGGAGATGATTTGACCGTTCATTTCTGGCGCTGTCGCGGATCTGTACGTACTTGCACAAACGGCAGTGGACTTCTAAATTCAATTGACAACGCGAAGGCAGCAGGACGCCCACATTCTCCAATATCTCTTGTCTTCTGTCTGCCAAAGCGAATTCCTTGCGACTCTATTGGCCTGGCTCTAAATATCCGTGATGCTGCCTTGGCATGAAAAATGGACAGCTTTACATCGACATGGGTTTGCAGTAAAGTATATGTGGTCCAATTGCATGCGAATTCTTCCATTGTTACACTCCTAACATTACGCCGCCAGCCCTGACTCTGGGCGCGCGTGATATCGGCGGCGGGAAGTGTCTTGGGTAAGTAGTTCTTTTCGCTGGTACAATTGACGACTGTTGAGTAATAGAAGAGTCACACAGCAGATTCTCCGATGGCGTGCGCCTGCCACACTTTATGGTCCCCGAGACGCCCTAAAAATCGCTTGTACAATGTGCCTCTTCCGAGTCCTGGCACGAAAAATTCGGACTGGGAAATGGCTCCTCTTTTGTTCACATTTCCCTTGAGCCATTGTATCACAACCTCTGACTTCGACCAGATTTAAACCACATCACTACAATCCTACAATTCATACTGTGATGTTCTACGCCCTCAACCCTTTAAAGCTCTTACCGGCAGATACTTCACTCATTTGATTTGTAGATTGTAACCCTTTGTCAGGGCTAGCCGACAACCGGTGTTTCTCGTTAACGACCCAGAATATGATATGTATGTTTCTATTTATTCAGATTCATCGAATCATATACCTCCGTAATGCGTGCGTCTAACCTATAAAGCCCGCCTGAGCCCTGTCCACAGCGGTATTCATTGAAGCACTGTTATTACCTCGATCCACCAGATCGCTCACAACCATGCCTTCTCTCATTCCGCTAGACGATTCGCTTGGCGCTACTTATATCGGAGTGATCGTGTCTACTGGGTGAGTTGGCTCTTCGACGAATTCACTATTCTACTTCAGCATGACGAAACCGCTTTGCCTCTGTCCAGAATATACGGGGTGACCTGCCTACAAGTATATTTATATTATACACAACATTGTAGCAACGATGGCCGATTCCTGAAAGCTTTCGTCAGTTCTGTTCATGACCGTTTGCTCATTTTTCGAAACTAACATCCTTCTCAGGTTGCCATTTTGACGTAGGTCCATCACGTCCGCTCCGTGGGTCTCAACAAACATCACACTCTCCTTTCTTTCCAGGCTCCTCGACACTTTTCACGTCGTGCTTTTAGCGCACTTTATGTATATCTATACCGTCGCCAATTTCGGGGACTATAGGGCCCTCGTCCCTTTGTGGTAAATATGGTTCGTACTTTGCACGCTTGGTCTTCGCATTGACTATCTTTGCTGCAGGAGCTTCTTGGTGCGTGGATTAAGCCAACGACTCGGCTATCACTCTTAACTAACTGACTTTTGTAGATTGAGTTTGTGATAGGGGTACGATCTGTATTCAGCCTTCCATGTAACCTTCGATCAATGTTTAACGCCGACAGGATCTGTTGAGTGTCTTGGTTCAGATGTGAGTGTTCTTTGTCAGTCTGAGATATCGACGGCTCTGTGTTCGCTGAACTCGTCCCTTTAGCTTCTTTGCGTATCGGATATATTGCCGTGCGTCTCTTTCTATCTACTTCAAACATTTGGAACGAAGACTGACATTCTTAAAGTAAGCGGGAGACGCACACTAATACCACCTGCCTCTATAGTATGTGTCTGTTGACTTGGTATCTGCGCTGTCATTAATCGCCTGCGCAATGCTTACAGTGCATTCTGAGCCTCGGACATCTATGTTCGGAACTTTAGATTTATTGAGACGACCCAAGGCTGATGAAGTCAACATCACGACAGCTGGCGCGCTCGGTGAGGTCTTACGTCAATACGATCTTCGTGTCCTTATCATCCGTCGTTTTCGACCTTTGCAGGCTCCACGGTCATTGGGTGTGATATTTCCGTCTGGGCTCCTTTCATCGCTCGCCCTCACCACTGCGATTCGTCGTTTACAGTTTCCGTGCTCCAACATTTTTTTCTGAGCGCTCCGAGATTCTGGTCTCGTTACCCAGTACATCATCTTTGAAACTCTACTGACTTGGTATACTAGCTGTGGACCATCATTTCAACTGCAGTAGAAATTTCTTGTGACGTCCTCATTACGGGGTTCATGATCTTCCACCTTCGCAAGTGCCGTACGCAATTCGAAAGGTGTCTCTCCTTGTCTCACCCTTGCAACCCATGCTCGTCGACTCATTGTTCATCAGAACGAATCGGGCCATCAATCTACTAATTACCTACACTCTGAATACGTGTGAGCGTCCTCTGCATTTCCGAGATAACACTGGTTGAAATCCATTTACATTGAAGCATTGCTAACAACGTAGTAGCGTTCTCTCTCTCACACACGATCTGGCTTCATGTTGATTATTTGTGCAGGGTATTCGCTATCACTACACTGATCACGGTAAGATAGGGGGCCGATATCCTGTGCTCTGAGCAGCACTGACTAACCTTGTTAAGTTCTTGACATTACATCAGTCCCTCGTCTTCACCGCGTTCTTCTTCATCTTGGTCCGACGTGCGTATTTTCATATTGCTTTAGTCACTTGTCATGCAATCTAATTGATAATTATTCTAGTCTATTTCTGCTCGTTCATGTCTTCGTTCGTCTATCTTTTTCTGTTTGATTATCCTCTGACCCGTCCTTTAGCTTGAATTCTCGAGACTTCGTTCGACAAGAGCTCAACAGCAAACAAGATGAAGTGATTACTCTGTCCAGATTTGCTGCAGCGGAAGCGGGAGTATCTTTACAGAGGGAGGACACTGTCGGTAGATCGGTGGAAAGTCACAAAGGGTTTGAATGCTCATCTTCGAAGTTGCATCATACTGACGATATCGCTACAGAGGATCAAACCAATATGTTTGACCGTCTCCCTATTGGTCTCCTCGATGCTCATTAGACACATGGTGCGTTCACTGGCCTTAAGAAAAGGTTAGTTGAAGTCAAACACTGTTTCCTCCAGGGTTCATGGATCGCCGTACATTTTGTCCTGCAACTTTGTATTTATCAGCCTACTTCCCAAATCAGATGTTACCGGGACCTGCTAGTGAGCCTAAGCACCTCTTGACACAGTAGCAGCTCGCTACTGGCACATAGCTGTACAGCGATGACGGTACAGTTCCCGAAAACGGTCGAGGTTTGAGGCTCGACATCATATGCAGATGTGGATGCCACTCTTTTATGACATTGATGGGCTGTATTTTGGTGCGCAAATGATATATCTCACGTAGAGAACGCCTGACAACTCTCGGAATGAATGCGTTGCTCGCTCACGTCACATACGACATCTCACTACATACTGTGTGCCGGTGTCGTGCAACTCGTATGCTTAGGATCTAAGGCAGATTTGAATAGGGACTAGGCTCACATTGAGTCCCATCATGTGATGGGACACCTGCCAGATCTATTTTATCATTGGTTTTCTCACCAACAACCTTGTTTGAATGCATCGTACTCACGGTATGCGTTCTTCAAACAGTATTTCTGATGATCAATGTATCATGCGGCTCCCCTCTCTGCCGAACCCCCACCCTGCTCGTGTCCGCCCGTGCAACGACGCCGCAGACGACCTTGTGCCAAGCGGCATTGCAGCGCTCCCGCTCATCTTACTCGACGAGATGCGGTCGCGCACCCTTCTATCGCGCGCGCTCTCCCGACTACTCACTCCCCGGCCTGTGCGGCCGCAAAAGCGTGCACCCATCCGCCGCACACCCACCCTGCCACCTAACCATATGCACCCATCACTACCCTCGGCGCCATTCGCGGCCTCGCTCTCCAGAGCTTCCAAGCGCGGATCAGCATCCTGTGCAAGGTACGCCTGCTGCCGATCTTCCTCCGTTCACTCCTTTGACCTGGTCGCACACGCACACGCGCACACACTCACGCACGCGCATACATACACAGGATCACATTTGCCTGCTCCAGCACCGTCTCAGTCGATATCATCAACAATACCTCTGCATCCCCTTTGCCTTCCTCGCCTCCCTCTCCCTGACCCTGCCCGCCCTCCGCACACAGCCGCGGCCCGCAGCCCGCGAGCGCTGGCAGCAGGCCCCGGAGCATGGACCGTCACGCGCGAGGGGTCTAGTCCATGCGCGCGGGCCCGCGTGTCAGCGCAGGACCTTGCTGGGCAGCGGCAGGTGCCAGCATACATCGCGATGAGGTGGTGTCAGTCAGTGTCCTGCCGTCGGCGCAGCATGGGGTGGGGCGGCATATGCGTGTGTGCTATTTACCCGGTGCATTGCTTGCTTCCTCTTTTTCTCTCTCTTTGTTCTTAACACAATGCTGATCTATCCTGCGTGCTGCTTCGCAAGCAGCGGCAGGATGCATGTAGGTTGCAGTGGAACTGCTGAAAACTATTGCCTCCGGAGCTCGCGACGGAGTACGTGTTCGCCATCTGGGGCGCGTTTGAGCGCGTGCTTGTATGCCAGGCGTATGGAGTGGCTCCAGGACTACGCAGTGAGTACCTCCAGCAGCAATGGCTCCTCTGGCAGCATCAGCACAACGGCTGACAGCGAGTCTGCGAGTCTTACCTCCCCACCACCGTTCCCCTGGTCTCCTCACTCTCAAAACCTGCTCTCAAGGCCAACCTTGGCCTCGAGGCAAAGGTTGACGCAGAGCGCGCAGCCCATATTGATGCCAAGGCCTGCCGCCGCAACCTTTCACAGACGCTTGGGCAGACATTGGTGCGCAGCTCTCTCTTCCTCTTCCACTCCTTTCTCCTTCTCCCTTCCCCTCTCCTTCTTTTTCCCGCTGTCCCTGCCTTGCTGACTGGCACCACAGCAATGGAGTCGCGAGACACTGACACCAACAACGACGAAGTGGCGGACAGCAGCGGTGCAGATGGAGGGCAGGATGACACCATGTTCGACACGTAGCACGGGAACAGGTGCTGCAGACTGTGGAAGGCAGCATGCACGCGTGCCACACTCAACGTATGCCCCTTTCGCTGATGCTCGCACTCATGTATTCCGTGACAAATGGGACGCTAATTGGCCGCGCGCTCTCTTCTCATCTGCCCTCTCTCACCTGCCCCACTCTCACCTGCCCCACTCACCTGCCCTTTCCCGGCTCCTCGTGGAGGGAGAGGCCGGGGAAGACGGCGGATGTGTCGGGGGCTTGGGGGCGGGGCTCGTCGTGGCCGCGGTCGCGGGGGGAGAGGGCCGTGGCAACGGGGGAGGCGGAGATGGACTCACGGCGGGCGAGGGAGAGGTAGAGAGCCATGTCAACGTCAAGTGTGCGCTGGCGCTCGCGGACGTCGGGGTCGAGGGGGTTGTAGCCGCGGGTGAGGGTCGGGGAGTAGCGGACGTGGGAGGCGCGGTCGCCGTCGACGGAGGCGTTGCGGCAGCGCGTGGGCGAGCCGTCGCGATCTGCGATCAGGGAGCGCGGCGAGGACGAGGCGTTGGGGATGTCCTGCGGGAACGACATCGCGGGGAGCACTGGAAGGCAGAAGGCTGCGCCAGTGTTGGAGCTGGAGACGGCCGCGGTGTCGCGCATGAACGCACGTACGTTGTGCTCAGGAGCTGTGCTCGGGTGCTCGAGTACAGTACAAATGGCTCGTTCTGGAGGACGGACATTCAGAACGACACGAGAAAGGCGAGGGCCGCAACCTTCGCACCTACGCAGCGGCTGCAGCTGGAGTGCGACGTCCTGTGTGCTGGGTCTCGCAGGACAGGGCCAGGTTCGCATGCACGCTCTCTCCGCCGCCGCCCCTCTGCAATTTACGTCACACGCCCCGCCGTCACACCCGTCACCCCCTTGCCAGCCCTCCGTGACCACGCCGTGACAGCATGGCTCCCCACCTCGGCCTCGCAGCCGTCGCCTTCGTCTCCCCGCAGAACCACCCCATCCTCGTCCGCTCCTTCTCCCAAACGCACGACGACCTCCTCAAGTACCACTACATCGCACACACGAGCCTCGACGTCGTCGATGAGCGCAGTGCGCGCCCCTCTTTTTTTTTTTGGCTGCTGAAGCGCTGATGTGACGCGCACGATCCAGTCGCCGCCGCGCCAAAGTCGGTAGAGTGCTACCTCGGCTTCCTCTACTCCATGGAGGACGTCGCCGTGTACGCCTACATCACCCCGCCAAAGGTCAAGATCATTCTCGCCCTTGCCCTTACCGACGCCGTCGTCCGCGACGCAGACATCATCACCGTGCGCCCGTCTCCCGCGCTGAGCCTTCCACCCACGCGATCCTGAAGCGCTTTCTCTTCTTCATCCTCCCCCCGCTGCAGATCTTCAAGGCCCTCCACCTCGCGTACTACCGCTCTGCCGCGAACCCCTTCCTCAGACTCAACCTCGCCCCCGACGCCGCCGCCGACCACGGCACCCTCCTCCTCGCCGGCAGCACCCGCTGGACTGCCTTTCGCACCCGCGTCGACGACGTCGCGCGCGCAGCCGGCGCCGTCGCCCTCCCCAATGCATGATATTTTCTTTTCCCGCCGATGGTGACGTGCGAGCGAGCGAGCGAGTGAGCGCCTTTGTGCGTCCGGTTCTTGCCGACTTTTCACGTCGCAGACACGCCCAGGCGCTATCCGTACTGTGTGTTTTAACGAGCAAACGCGCGCGAACCTACAGAGAGCATCGCTCGCCTTCCAGTTGACTCGGCTGTCTCCAGGACGCGGCAGTCGAGACAGATACGAGGCGCACATTCTTCTCGGCCAGTACGTATTAGTCGCACACGCCCCCAGTTCATGTCCCCGCTTTTCCTGCAGAAATAAATCAGGCGCCCGTGGCCAATGGCCATTTTGAAAGCTGGAGCTGACATCGCCCCGAGAAGCGTCGGCGCCGGGCTGAGTTCCAAGTCGCGGCATTGCATTGTAATGCTTCCTCCTATCGGCGCTCATTGACCCGCGATATCAATCCCAGGCCGCCAATCGGCATGCGCCCCCCCTCAAGATGTATTGCGCACGTTGTCGTTTTCAGGCGCTTCGTTAAGCTTCATGCATGCTCGCTATCCCCGCGCTGACGACCAGAGCCAAGACTGTTTAAAAAGGCATTGGAGTGTACACAAGCTCATCTGCAGGCGGGTCACACGCCACGCCCTCTCTCAAAGGCGGCACGACACAGTGCATCCTCTCCCAACCCGGCTTTCCGCAGCCCACCCCAGCGCCGACGTCCCCCGCCCACCGCCTCGGGCCCGTGCCAGGCGCAGGCATCGGCATGTATGCGACCCGCGCGATCGCAGCGGGGGAGCTCATTGTCTCCGAGCGCCCGCTCCTCGTCGCCTCGGGCGCCTACCACTCCCAGCTCCAGCGCAATGACACGATCGCTGAGGCGCTTGCGCGCATGTCGCAAGACGGCCGCGCGGCATACATCACGCTGTCCAACGCGTACGATGCGGCCGTGCCGCAGCTCTTTGCGATTTGGCAGACGAATAACTTTGATATGACCCAACATCTGCACGCGGCTGACCCGGAGATGGCGGCCGATGCACGGCGCCCCGTCACCACCATCGGCAAGCTCATGTCAAGGATCAACAACAAGTGCGCTTCATCCATCACCCCACCTACTCCCGAGCGCGCGGCGCCAGCAGTTTCTGCGCACTAGCTATGGCTTCGCATGCGCGGACCCTGCGGCGGCGGACGCGCGGCGCGCGCAGATCCTGCAATGGGAGCACCTACTCGACGACGACGACAGCGGCCGTGGTGGCGGCGCCACGCTGCCCGACGACCACCTGACCGCGCCTCTACTGGCCGTGCTCGCGCTCATCGAGGCAGAGGGCGTGCTAAACACGCAGTTGCACCTGCTGACGCTCAAACGCCGCGCTCGCGCTCGGGGACCGGGACCAGCTCGCGGAGTATGCCGCGCGCTCCGTGCGCGCGGGCGCGACGACAGTGTATGTGGCCCCGCGAAGGACGGAGAAGATGGCCAGGGACTTTTCGAGCCCCGGTCGGTATCCGTTCTGGAACACGCGCGTGAAGTACCGCGAGCCCAGCCCAGCGCAAGGCTGACGCGCCCGGCACGACGTCGGTGTGCGACGGGGTGGGCGTATAGGGTGGCTGTATGGCACGCCGGCTACGACGGAAAAAGCTGAGTGGGACGTCTCGGATGTATTTCCTTCTATTGTAATACCGTGCATCTCCTCGACGCACGCAAGGGTCGCGCATCGTCGCGATGTCCGATGGCAAATCCTCGCCTCGAGCCATTTGGTGAGAATGAAAGCTGCATGGAAAACATAAGGTTCAAGGTAAGCCATAGCCCTGCACGGCAATCGCATACGTGGCGTCGATTCATGTGCGGTAGGCGGAGTACCAGGCGAAGTGAAAGGAAGGATCATGGAAGCACGAGGAACCGCTGGCGCAGGGGCATATGGATCGGCGAGCTTGGATGACGAACTCTCATACGGTGCGTGTTCACATTTTCGAGCATTGGCCAGCAAGTGACAGGTCAAAGAGCGCTCGCCAACAATGGCAGCTGGGCCATGGAGCCACGCCTCAGAACAACACTTCTAGTCGAAAAAGCTGTATTTGGCCATTGCACGGGTACATATCATAGGCCTGTCAGCGGCCAGTGCATAAGCACACGAGACGATGCACAATGGATAGCCAACCGTCGCCAGCATCTTACGTTCTTCGGCAAGCATGCTACGCAGCCAGGAAACGCGACATTTGCCAATATCTTTCGATGCCTCCCAGAGCCACATTGTGGCAGTAGCCGAGTGCTATATAGCCTGCTTCACTGCACATCACCTCACGGACTCCCCATCATTCCACTTATGGACGGCGTCAATAGGTCAACTCTGGATACTCGCCAACCTTGACAAGCACCAGAAGGCCAGCTTGGGCAGACACGAAGAATTCTTCGGTGCAGCTCTCGTGTTTCTCGACAACTTTCTTTGTTACCGCCCGGTCTACCTCGCTGACCTTGAAGATGTGCAACTTCCTGAACTGTGAGTGAGCATATGTCCTGACTTTCGACTTGCCTCTAACCTTCATGAAAGTGGCGGACAGGCCCCGAGTGCCACTGTCTGTGCCACCGAATCGCCTTCCGGCACATCCCAGAACAAGCGTAAGTCATCCGATGGCTCTCTTCCAGACCGCGATGACGGAGGATCCCATCCATCGAAGCGTGCAAAGCAAACCAGCATTGCTGCTAAACTCGCGCTCTTGTCCTACTCAACCACGGCGCCTCTCAGCACGCCGTACCTATCCCTCTATGGCAACCGTGAGTGATCTGCTATGAAAACGTAAGCAGAAGATTACATTTTGCATACAGGACCCCTGGAACGGTTCTCAGATACTCAATTATATATATCATCGTCTAGTATCCGATACTCGAGGGCAGACTTGACGAGAGACAATCCAGGGGCAGCAAGCATCAAATTATAGATTAGATATTTGTTTATTGATCCTCAATTTCAAACCAATAAGCTAATACATTGGTCGAGGATGAGCTCAAAGATATGATCAACACCCGGTAGACATGTAGACTCGTACACGAGCTCGGCGATGTCGCGCGCAGACGCGAGCACAGTGATGCACTGGTCGACCATATGGTCCGGGCACGCAGAGAGGTAGAGCACGCTGTGGGCGGCGGTGCGGCAGCGGCGCCTGACACGGATGAGGGCGGAGAGGTCGTGCGGGGCGACGTGCATGTAGACGAGGCTGAGCAGGATGGGGAACATTTTGCGCATGTTGCGGAGGATTGAAGAGAGAGTGTGTGCAGGGGCGCATCCCCTGGATTGTCTCTCGTCAAGTCTGCCCTCGAGTATCGGATACTAGACGATGATATATATAATTGAGTATCTGAGAACCATTCCAGGGGTCCTGTATGCAAAATGTAATCTTCTGCTTACGTTTTCATAGCAGATCACTCACGGTTGCCATATCCCTCCTACCAGACGAGCTTGTTGATTGGATTTGTACCCATCTTCCTGATCACGTCAAAGTCACCTTATTTGCCCTGACATTCCACCAACATTGGCAAATTGGACGCCACCACATCAGGTCCCGCATCAAAGAGTTGTGTAACTGGGCAGGCGATCGACTCATCTGCCTCGGGAGCTGCACCGGGGACCTTCCGCCTGGGCTACTCACAGCTGCCGAGGAAAAAGAGTTGGAAACGGGCTATACATCTGCCGATGAACTAATTGACGAGAGCGACGATGATGATGACGACTATGATAAAGACGGAGAGATCCACGAAGATGGCGGGAGCCGCGAAGACAATGCGAAGACAACGCGAATTAGCTTGTATGAAGTTGCGAGAAGACGCTTCACGGAACAAGTCAATACTGACTTGTATGTGATGGTGAATGGGAGATCGATTGGCTACTATTCAAATAGCCGCAACGACTGGGACTTGCTTGTGAGTCTCTTATACCCAGAGTACGTGCACACGAGGCATGGCGTACAATCGCGGACACTCGGACCCGAGGCGGTCGGTCTGCGCCAGGTGTACTACGAGGTGCACTTGAGGTGGCCTTGAGGTGCACTTGAGGTGGCCTCAAGCTGAGCGTGCAGAACAATGGGCTGTCCTGCGAAACCTTTCTCGGCACAAGTATGTGCATGGCAAGGCACTCTAGGAGCTCAGGGATCGCAATCATGGACACGAGGATAAATGGGCTGTGAGTAATATAATGTTGTTCGGGTTTGGCGAGGTGCTCGGCTTGCGCTCATTCTGGTCAGAGACTGAGCAGGGATCAGAGTATGACTGGGACTATTGCCATGGAGTATGGGCTGGGCATTGGTTCGATATCGTTCTGGAGCAAGATCATGAAAAGGCAATGGAAAGGAAGGAGTGGACGGATGTGAGCAAGAAAGTATTAGCAGAGATGGTCAAGGTATGCCAAAAAGGATTTGAGTAAGAAACTTGTCGGTTGGTGAATTGCTGGTGTTTGACAATTGTTTGTATCTGTCTTCAAAAATAGTTGACATGGAGAACAACATGTCTGTATTGAACAGTCGGAGGGAGCAATGACCATGTTTTATTTTTTCATTGGTTGCGAGCAGAGTGGCACAAACTTCACTCTGACATTCATTGTTGTAACAATGAGCACTGGTCTAAATCCATAGATAATAAGCATAATCTCTGTCTATCGATTGTCTTTACTTCCACCATCTAAACGCTATGATTTTCTAATGCACGGCCCTCCATGATTTAACATTCCACGATCAAATATACTGACTTGCTTCCTTCCAATCCTCATGACAATTTTGGCATCCCAGTAGTGAATGTGAGATGCACTATCATATCCTTATCAAAACATGTCATTCCGATTCCAGACGGGGATACAATAAATCAAGACTGTCCAATTACAGGGACAGTCTTATAGGCATCCTCTAAGTACTTGATGTCTTCATCAGAGAGCTTTACATTGAGTGCACCTAAGCAAAGCGAGCGGCGAGCACCCATATCAGGATCAAAAAGCCCCAAACACACTGATTAGATCTTTCACCTTTTCCAGAAACATCATCCCAACGATGGGTGCTGAGACAGCTATGCAGAGGCGAGCCCAAATCAGTCAATCCCTTGTGACGGGCCAAGAAAGCAACCCACTGTCTTTACTAAGGACCCAGGCGAGCAAAATTTGGGCCATGCTGATGCCATGTTTCTTTGATAATTCCTCGATGCTGCACGTTGTGGTCAATCGCCATATCACTGTCCAAATCTGATGACATACCGGTTCACGATCTCCTTTCCGCCCAAACCATCTCAAAGATAAAACTCATGCCAACTATATGCAATGGATATATTGGATGCGGCTGCAAGGAGTCCTTGAACACCTGCAAGTGCCCGCAACAAGTAAGAAATGGGCAGAAACGAGCGGAAACCTGCAGAAACAAGAGCTAGAGAATTAGTGTGACATTGTGTGATAAATCATGACAAAATATGACACGTATGATCATCCCTGTTGGAATTACTCTTTTTCTGGGGTGAAAATCGGTAAAGGTTACTATTTTTTTGGCCAGGTTTTGAGGGTTTCGACGGGGAAACATCTAGTAGCGCTTCCTGGGGCCTGCGAGAGTGCCTGTAATCAAAAACACTCAATTCCCACTGCCTATCTCCCTCAAGCCTCAGTGTGTGCAAAACAGATACCATCGCTATCTGATCAAGCTTGAATCCGATCTAAAGACAATCAAGCATTTTCAATTGGTATGTATACCCTTTGCAATCGCCCACCACTTGCTCTTGTTTGCAGAATGCCGCCACTCGCTGATGGGCCCATATACTTACAGCACAATTAGTCTGCATACAAATTAGATGCTTTGGCGGGGGGTCCAGCGACCTGCCTTATTAGGAAGGTTGGCAGGAGACGGCAGGGCAAGAACAGATAGAATTCTGTCTCTAACTTAAAGGGGCTCACGTGATTTTTCTCGAATTTGTTAGGAGACTTAGGGGCCAAAAAATACACTGTTTTCTCCATAATCTATTCCTCCTTGAACATGAATGGCTGGACATCCCCCGAAGGGATTCTCTACATTAAAGAAACTCTATGCACTCTTTTACCTTGGCCAAATGGTCCCCACAACTGGCAAGTTAACAGTACTGCCAATATACTGGAAAGAAATAATCAGTTGGTTATTGCTGCTTACGGCGAAGGGAAGACAGCAGTTGCATACTTACATCTAATCTTAATCTCCCATTTGTCAAAGAAGCCTCCGAGATCCTTGCTGCTCTTTGTGAGAAGCATTCAGTCAACTGCTGTGGTCTTGATGATCACATCCCTGATTGATGTCGGACTGTGTCAAGTGAGTCTTAAATGCATCAGCATAGAACATGGATCTGACAGGTGAGGAGGTGGAAGAAATGTCAAGGATGGGAGTTAGAGCAGTCTCGCTAGACAAGGAGACAGTGAGGGAAGCACACCAAAAAGGCAAAAACCTGCTAAAGAAGGTTAAACAAGGGAAGTGGTCGGTTATCATCATGTCTCCAGAACGGCTGAACTCACCGGAATTCGAGAGAATTGTACAAAATGAATGGTTTAGGAAGCTTCTTGCTTTGTATGTCATCAACGAGGCTCACGTTGTCCTTGCATGGGCCGCAGACTTCTGTGAAGCCTATGGTCAGATCAACCACGTCATTGCGCGCATCCCTGTCGGCATTCTTGTCCTGGCAATGAGCAGAACACTAGGCTCAGAGGCCAAGACATCTCTCACCAAGTTTCTGGGATTTTATGATGGGACATATCAGACAATCCAAAGATCCTGTGAACAACCCAACCTACGTATAATATTTAGTACACTCATGCATGGACTTGGCGGGAAGGACTTCCCTGATATTGCCTGGACTGCCAAAAGCACAAAAAAAAACAATCATTTTTTGCAATACCATTGATCTCGGCTATCACGTCACAACCTACTTGCATTGCTTTGATCCACTGGGGCCTACTCAATAGCGCAAAATTTGCACCTATAATTCATTGATCTGGCCAAAGGACAATGCTGAATGCCTGTGGGCTTTTTGTGAGGATCCGGACACCTGTATCGTGGTCTTAACTGTGAAAATTGCGATGGGTGTGGACTTACAACAAGTTGATGTTGTCATCAATCTCGGCATGCCAGCATCGGTCGCTGCCATGATGCAGCAAATCTGTTGCACAGGACGAGACCCTTCGAGGGATGCGACAGGCTACACCTATGTTGAGGCATCTGTGCTGGAGACCGCGACATCTGGTGGTCAGAGGCGTGCAGGCAAGTTGACAACAAATGGGCACTTATCGGATCTGGAAGTAGGTTATGCTGTGAAGACGTGCGTGAGCATGGGAACAAACAGGTGTTCAGATGATACGGATATGGTGGTTAACACGAGAACAAGGAATAGGAAAGCTCACGATGCAGAAATGCTGAAGCTTGTCAAGGCTCATGCTATAAATGGCTGTTTGGTGGCCGAGATCAACCACGTGTTTGGCAGTACGCAGCCTGCTTGCCATGAGGCCTGTGTCAAGGCTCAACATTGTCTACCTTGCTCGACTTGCATCCGACAACTCGTGCCTCGTACCCAGATTACAAAGCTGGGGCAAGCCTCCTCCTCAACCTCACCCAGCATGCCGCATTCAAACCCCATGGCTACAAGTCAGGAAGCAGCAGCCCCAGCAACGGACGAGATCATTTCACAGGTGATACCGGTAGCCTCTGACAACACATCTCTCTCGACATACCCCCCTGCTTTTGACAAACCCGCTCCAACAAGGGACTTCCCGATCACTGCTTCAGATCAAGCTGCCTCAATATATCTGCCTACAACCTCAAGACAGCATACCACATCCTCGACAGACAGCGCTGATATGCTAGAGGTGGCTCTAAGTGCCGAGCACAACACCAAAACAACCTCTAATGCAAGGGGGTGCTGGAGCTAGTATCTAATACACAAGGAATTGTTAGTGATGACTTTAGAAATCGATGGCGTACTGAGGAGCAACGGGGAGTATGAGATTATAGCGCCCGAACGGTTTCGGGACTGCGCCGAACACCGACCGAACGTTCGGTCGGTCGTGTCGGGGATTCGGTCGGTAACGAGAAGGTAGTGTCGCGACCGACAACTACGTGCTTCAAGAGCCACACGGGACTCTGACAATAGACGAGGGAGGATGGGGGTACGAGCGAAGAGACGAGTACGAACGCGAATGAGGCCGAACGACGAGGATGACAAGTTTTCGGGAGTCGATGAAGACAATTTCGATGGTTGAGACGAGTGCGAATGAGCTCTGAACTGTGGGGTGCGAAAGCTGGTTTATTCCAGAGTTGTATGTAGGTTTTTATAGTAAACTGAGCCCCTAAGTAAAATATTAAACAAGAAATGAGAGTAGATGTCGAATGGGCGCCAAGCCTTAGCGATCAGAGAAGATAAGGAGGTAGGTGAGATGTCCATATGGGTTCCGAAGGTGATAAGGTAAAAGGTAATCAGTGATGTCGAAATCCCGAACGTTCGGGATCCGTCGCCCGAGTGTAGGTAGCAGGAACAGGCGTTGGAGAACCAATGAAAAATAAAGAAGAGGTATCGTACGACCAGGGTGGCCAAGCAATGGTGTAAGATTGCGTTTGACCGACCATGCGGAAGTCGGGACGATAAGTGATAAGGACCGACCGACTCACGGAGGACATCGGCCGATATGGAATACTGGCTCCGATCTCGTACACACCTATCGTAACCCTCCTGTGCGGTCATGATAAGTACGTGAAGTGTGGGCGAACTGACCCAAGTGCTGCCGAATCGTCCTTCGGTGGCTTGTCGTCGGTCGGGTAGGGACCGACCGTGTTCGGTAAAAGTCGGCGTCTTCGGTACTTGTCTAGCACTGTTCGGTATCTCCCCAAAGCTTCCCGAATCCCTTCCTCGGACCCTAGCGCGGGTGCATGCTCATCAGCGCCATCTGCCCGAAGCTCATCTCTAAGTTGCGCATCCATACAGTGAGAGTTTTGGATAGATTATATCTTACTAGATGGATGAAGAAGGATGGCCCTCGGTACATGCTAGTGCCCTACTGGTGCTACATGCCTAATGCACAGCATCAAGCCATTTTTGACAATTTCCATCTAATTCGTGACATCAAGGACTTGCAACAATACTTGGAGGGATGGGAATTCTGGGAAAGCGATAGGAGGATGCTGTGGGAGGGTATCCAGGACCTTAACGAACAATACGACTGCATGCATGTTGTGTGGAAGAGACAGGCCCTTGCTAGAAGAGCCTAGACGTTGCAAGAAAAAGCGGCTAGAAAGATGGGTGTGCTAGCAGGCGAGTGTCCACATGGCTTTGCAGTGGAATGTCACTGATCATTAACATTTGCTGGCTTGTTCATTCAGCGCACGCACCCACAGTCGAAGAGGATCCACTCGCAAACAGGATCAATCTTGCTACGACCTGGTCAGCTGTAAAAGCACGGTACATTCTTGCAATGTGCCTGGGTATTCAGCAGTCTACAGACCACTTCATGTCCTCCAATACGCCCTCTGCGCATGCATGCATATTCAGTGTTGTCATTGCTCCCCTCACAATTGTGGGCATATCTACCTCAGCGTGCGCATCTGACATTGTCGATGCCCAGCTTGCAGTCATGGGCAGTTCGTCTTTAGCGTGTGCATCTGGAATCATTGACCATCTGCTCGCAATGGCCGGCTCATCTCTGTCACTGTGTGCATCTGGCATCGTTGACGCTCCGCTTGCAATTGCATATACAACCCCCTTAGCTGTGAAACCACGGTATGATCACGCAATATGTGAGGGTAGGCAGCACTTTATTAACAAGTTTATGTGATCTAACAGACCCTCATGGCAGGCAAGCGCCGTTCTCGAGAAGGTGCTCGTGAACGCGGCTCGTCTGCCCATTGTACCATCCATTTTTAATCCACTCTGTTGTCAGCAAGACCAAGCAGACGTTGAAAACCAGCCGCCGCCCTCTTCACTAATCGGCCATCCTTCGCAATCAGGGCCTCAGAAGTGTTCCCTCCCTGGCATCTCCGCAAGTCCGATTAAGTGTTGACGTATTCTGAGTTGACTGAAGGGTTGTGACCTGATGTGGCACCATGTATTCATACCCATGGGCTGTTGCCGATCACCACATGGCCATCGAGGTATGAAATGGGTGTGTGTAAATAGTTAGTGCCATCTTCAATGTCATTAGGCAATACTGCCTGCTCCTCCTTGACAATACCCTCCAGACCTTTTGTGACGTAGGAATACAACTTCCCGCCTTCTCCCAAGTTGCGGTACCCATCCACCAGGTTATCCTGAGTATGAAATCCTAAATCTCGACCTTCTTGTCTGCAATGCAGCTTATGTTCCTGACATATCTAGATGACGAGCCTTAGCTTGTTGTCAATGCACTTATTGGTATGGTGCAAGCTCCGGTCTGCGAGATTGACTGCTTTTTCCATCTTATCGGAGAGGCACATGAAGTTGTGGATGTAGATCGACAGCACATCACGATACCATTTGTCCCCAAATTCCTTCCCTTTATGCTGAGCAAATTCTTCCAGGTACTTATTGAAATGTTCTTGCGTCAAATCCAGCTCATGAAATTTGCCCGCTTTTCCCTACAGATTGACCAGCCAATTGTTGAAGAAAGCAATCCGAGTGGTCTTTAGATACTTATAGGTAATGTTGCAGAAGAGTTTCACGAGGTAGGTGGTGTATTTGGAGTGGCCAGATCACAAGAAGGTGAAGATTCATATCTAGGGTGAGCATCCTATGGTCAGACATTGGCAGGAAGCCACTAAGCACGATACTAACCTTTAGAACTTCCCAGACTCGTCCGATATCACCTAAGGTGACCGCATGACAGACCTCCAAAAACCAGATGCCATCTCGCATCAGAAGAATGTTGTTTACCAATGCCCAATCACTTCGGGAATTGGGTGACTCATGCTTTGATTCCTCAAGCAGAGAGCCGGTATCCAAACTCTCTGATTGCAATGCGCCGCCGTGATTGTTAAGATCACCAAGCAATCTCACAGATTTGTCAAGGTTCAGTTGTATGTCTCTTCCCGTTGTACTGGAATTCATGCCATGTATTCCCCAGGTTGGTCTTATGGGTGCATTAGAGTACCATGCGCCACCCACTAGCTCAGGGTGCGGTGCACACATATATGCATCTGTAGTACAGTATTGTTTCACCAAGATGTTGGCATCATCGAGAAGTGCCGTCAGGCATGGCAGGCGGTTTGCGACAGCCAGGGATTCAAAGAAGGCACTCAGATTGTTGGTCCCCAGGTAATCCCTAATAGTCAGTGAATCAAAAGCGATCGAGACTAAGTTGAAACAAAGGCAGTAATTACCCCCAGCAGTCAAGAATGTGACCAAGCATAGCAATATTCAGCAGCTGCATACTTGGATAGAAATCAACCTAGCTCAAATTCAACGGAATAGGACTTAATGTTGCTTGCGCTAGGTAGCCCAAGGTAGATGGGTCGGACACCTCGTGGCTAGTACCCCAGTGACACTGGAAGATCCGGATGAGGTTGGTCCATTTTGTATGCCATATCTCAAGCACTGCATGCACAAATTGGAATGACCTGAAATCACCCTCTTGCGCAGATAACAACTTTTTCACCTTGTTGATGCCTTCGAAAGTTTTGCCATCGCCTGTGAAAAACAATAACTTCCTCCCGTAAGTCTCTTCAGTGATTCCTAGCTGACCCAAAAAATTGCTCAATGCTGCCGTCATGCCTTGCATAGATACCTCATTGGCATCATTTGTCCCGAGTAGCTAAACCACAGTATGTCGTTTTGGATTGATTTGGTGTTTGCATGTCTGATCATTGAACATGTGTCCAAAAGCATCGCGGTGCATGGCAAGGGCCGGCACATAGAAGATCAAGGCATCAACCCAATGAAACCTCTTGACAGCATGTATGTGCACCCAGTTGATATGCTTCTCTAGTGCTTTGATCATGAGAGTGAACCATTTATTTTGCTTGCAGTTTTCTAGCAGGGGGGCTAGCTCAAATGCTCCTGGTGGGCAGTCCTCCATCTGGGCCGCTGTTGCCCCAGTTCCCACAATCATCTGAGCTTCTCTGCCAAGAGATGGATTCCAAAGTCTCTTGTAAGCTTGTATGTTGTCGAGCACCACAATGGTTGGTTGACCGTCAGTGCCGACATTGCGCAACACCTCATGCGCCTTCCAAGCCATCATCTTGAGTGCATGTGTCACTGTTAAATATGGTGTGCAAGCTGCCAAGCGACTGCCCACTCTATACGTCGACTGATGGCCCCTCTGTGCAAGTAGAACAATCCCTCATAACAATGGGAAAAGGTTTGCCCATTGATTCTTCTTGAGTACTAATGCACTGATTACATTTGTCAGAACCTAATCCTCGAGCATCAGCGCTATCTTCTACTAGCCGTTTAAGAATCCATGCACTTATATGACAGCTTGGGCAGTACTCCTCCGACTCAATATCATCCTGTTTCTCTTAGACTGTCTCCTCATTCACCACCTCCTGATTTGATGTTTCTGAGTCCTTGGCTGACAAGTACTAACCTTTATTTGGGTCCAACTCTGGAAGTTTTCTAATAAACTGACTTAAAATCCTCCAGGTCACTGGAGCTACTGCTTTGTATTGGCTCACCAGCTTCTCCATGGAGAAATGCTGAATGGTATCCCAGGATATGAGTGGATCTAGTGATCGGGATTTGGCTTTCTTTTTTTTCGGAACTGTTTCTGCATGATCTGATTCCTGTCTTTCCCTTTCAAGGAGGTTCTCGTGTGCTGGCTGTGTTACAGAGCTGCTTGTCACATCAACATCGAGGATGCCATCATCTGAAGATGATCCTACAAGGTCCACCAAATTGTCGGGCTCTGTTGCTGCGCTATCTCCGTGGGGTACGTGGGTCAACTCCTCTGCTTTTTTGGCTTCGGTTTGAACATCCTTTCCAGAGGCATGTACATGGAGGCCTGACAATGGCGACACAAGGTCAGTGGCCTCGTATGCAATCTCATTTCCAACAAGCTTGAGTGCCCATGTCAATATTGCAGGCTGTGCATGTGATATCGTGTTCAACTCCGCATCCACTGAGAAATAGAGACTTTCATTGCTATGGTAGGGTGGTGGGATGCTATGATGATGATTGTATATTCCTCAAACAATATTGAGAGGCTTGTGTTTGGTGCTTCCAGAGAGAAATTTCTTGAGGTACTGGCACTGTGAGGTAGAAATATCAACATAAATATTTTGTCCCTTGTCATTGCAGAATAGGCGGCAGAGAAATTCACCCAGTGACCACCCAGTAGATTTTATGGCATTGAGGATATCTTGCATTTTTCTTTTGGGGGACCGCCAATCAGCAATTGGGGCCTTTGTATGAGTTGTATTCTGGCTGCCTGGTGTCTGTGGTGTGCCATATTGTCTTGTAGGAGTGCAAGGAACCCTCCAAGTTGTTTGCATCTTGAAGGAAAAGGCTCTGTATATTCTTTGTAGTTATCCGTAGCTTATCATTTTATTAACTATGGCACGTGAACGGCATGTAGCGGCATCGCCGGCATTGCTCAGCCTGAGTCGCCTAATGACATGAATCATTTAGAAACAGCCGAGGCTGGACCTCCTGCCAAATCATCAAATTTGTGTGCAGACCTTATACACAGAACGACTGTCTTCTGTGTAAAGGTCGGCCACGGAGACTACAGCACAATTGCATTCAACGAGCACAAGCTGATACTGAGATTAAATTTTCTCTTGCAGTGACATCCGCCTTGCATCAAACCCCAGGCCCTGACTTTAAGAAGATGGCCAAAGACGATGTCCAAGACAGCTTCTGGACTATCGAGACCAACACCTTTCTAGACCACGTCCTTGGCTGGAAGACCGCTGACAACGACGTCCGCAATGTCCTCCACACGCTGAACTTGTCTTCAGCCCAGTGGCTTTCCCTACCGAAGGTTCCGAAGCCAGAGAAGGAGCTCTACTCTTCGTTTGCAGATACTGCCAACGCAATCGTCGCTGCCTGCAGCGCCACTAATCCCATAGTTGAACTCGCGCTTGACATCTCCTGGCAAGCGAGTCCTAATAAAATCCCGAAGTCTCTTGACCGGTGGTCGCCGCAGATTCGCCCTGACTTGCTTGCCGTTGTCGGACTAAAGGACGCCCCAGATGAGTTTAAGAGACTCGACACACAAATTCAAGATCTTGAGCATCAACTGGGCTCTGGACCGGAGGAAGAAGCTGAAAAGGAGGAGTTGAAGCTTCAGGTGCGTCCGTTCTTCGATTTAAATACAGTTAATTCGGTCTCATCGCTTTGTCTCAGCGAAAGGAGTTGCTGAAGAAATGCGAGTTATGGTGGTTGCGTGTTCACGTTCCCGTTGAGATGAAACCGAAGGACAGTGAAGAGGAGATGTTGGAAGGGATACTCCAGCTCTGCAGCTACATGCGGATGGTGCTCGCCGAGCAACTGGACCGGCGCTTTGCTATAGGACTTCTGTTGTGCAAGTCGAAGCTCACAGTATGGATGTGCGACCGCTCTGGTTTGGTCGGAACACGCACCGCGATCGATATCCACGCCGTACGTTTGTGTTCTTATTCGTTCTTACCCGCTCTAACGGGACATCTATTCATTTTTTCCTTTTTGCACAGGAGCCTAAGAAGTTCATCAAGGTCATCATATCTCTGTCTCGTCTTAATCCCTCTAGGCTCGGTTGGGACACGACGATGCGTATCTATCGCATGGAGACGGCTACATATCACTTCTCCACAGACAAGGACGTGACCGTCGACTACTATGGTGCGAGCCCGCATGAGACAACTTGGGCTATACAAGGTCCGAGATCTGACGGAAACGAGGGCGAAGACAGGTACTTGACAGTCAAAGCTCTCAGTACCGTGCGAGCGCAGGTGATGGAAGGTCGAGCGACGATTGTGTGGCTTGTTGTGAATGAGAGAACCATGGAGGTGAGGTCTCTCGGGGTACATATAATTGACTGATCATATGTACTGACCTGACATGCTAGCGGTTTGTGCTCAAACAGTCGTGGCGTCCGGAGATGTCGCAGACTAAAGCAACGTTCCATAAATCCCTGTCCAAGCCGCCCTCTTTTCACATCTGCGATATAGTCAACTCAGTCGACATCAGAGTCATGGATGACGAGCAGGGAGGCATGGTGGTCGACGACACGGCCAATCACATTCGTCGCGGCGTGGAGGTCCGAGCCTCTTCACTCAAGAGAAATAAGTTGCCTAAAGATCCCGGAGTGTCCGAATTACGCTCGACCAAGCGCAAGAAGCCGGAGCTCGATGAGTCCCAGCCCCATGAAAGCTTTCTTTACGTTACATCGACTTCTTCCGAGGTCTTGGAATTCTCTGTCATTGCCGACGGACGATCGGCGACAAATCGCGTCTTGACGCGCACTTTGATGCGGACGTACGGGTGGCCCATCAAGTTCTTCAAAGACGTTCCCGAGCTTGTCAATACCCTAATCGATGCTGTGAAAGGTGAGCATCCTTTCAAGCTGTCCGAATCTTATGAGCATTCTGCTGGCACCGTATTGACCGCCTTTCTCCAGGACACCGCGATTACTGGTTTAGTCTTATGCTTCATCAAGACGTCAGCACCGGCAACGTGCTTATCTGTCCCAGGTCTGATGTCAACGTCGAAGATACTTGTGGTAAACTCATCGACCTTGATTGTTCGAAAACATCGGACACACGCGTAGAATACCCAGCACCAGGGCCTCCCGACAAGGACACGGCTGGATTCCTTCAACTCCGCTGGCAGGTGTCCGTAACCGACGAGGCCGCTGGCATCCTCATCGCTCGTTACCCATCAGATTTCTTGATATATATAAACGTAGCTCTCAGCATGAATCCGGACCTCAGAACTGCTAACAAAAAGGTGATTGATGTCGTTTATTCGATCATACTCCAGACACTGACCCTATGACTTAGCTGACAGCAGAAGATCTCTTTTTGGAAACACCTTTCGTGAGCTTTTATGCTGAAAATCCGACCGGCGTCTCTACTCACTGCTGTCCATCAGGATCGCCCTCCAGCTTGGGATGGGCATCTTCTGCATATAAGACATAAGACAGTGAGCAAACACCTTCGTCTATCTCTCGACTTTCGTCTGACACCAGATATTGTGCTCCAGGGCACCAGGGCTTTCATGAGCGCCGAGATTATATATCTTTCAAATGTGCGTTACGAAGGTACCGAGGCGCTGAGGTCGACGGGCCGGGTTGTCCACAGCGTCATTCACGATCTCGAGTCTTTCTTCTGGGTACTTCTTTATCTCTGCCTCACGCGTGATGGTCCTGGCGGAGGACGTCGAATTGAGCTCTCCATCAATGAACCTTTGACCGAAGAGACCAAGCCGATATATGCCGCTGTTTACTGTCTATTCGACTCCGAGGACGATCACACTCTATGGAACAACAAACGGCTGCTCTTCAACAACCCTGACGACCTCGACGAAATCATCCTCAAGTGCATACACCCGTACTTTGATTCTTTGAAGCCTCTTATCTCCAGATGGTGGAAGACCCTTCGCTTTGGATACATGACCTACAATGACTATGTGGCGGGAAGCCTACATGACCGCGTTCTCACGTCCCTCGAGGACGAGCTCGGGAAGATACAGTCGAAGTCTAACTTGCATTCAAATTTGGATGCTGACGAGGTTGCGCGCATGGAGAACAAGACAGATAAGGAGATTCAGCGAAGGAAGGACGACCTCGAATTCATTCAACTCCGGGTTCGCCAACTTGACGAGAGCTTAAAGAGACAATCGCCGCATGCGGGGCAGCAGAGACTGCCTGCGACTCCGCTAAAGGATAACTGAGGGAACCGACAGGGCTCGGACCAAGCACCGGTCTGGGATTCGACGTCTCCGAAGGGGAGGTCGCAACATCCAGAGACGTACACCGGTACTGTGCCCGGCTCTCCACCCACTCCTCCGCCTCAGTTGAAGAAGGTGCGAACGGGCAACACTAGCGCTCCATCGTCAGGACGTCATTAAGGCAGGTTTGTAAGTATTTACGCCCAATGAGAACACCCTCAAATGTGAATGAATGTGGCCGAGTCCCTGCGAATATGAGTCAGCGGGTGGCTACTGCAACGCATGAAAACAGATAGGGTCGCATAAGTAGCATCGAACCGAGACACCTGACCATCGATGCGCCAGTTAATATGCCAAGTCTGTTCGAGGCGGAGGGGTCAGAGCAGATGATGCTCTCCTTGCCCACTGTCCTATTGATGAGGTTCGGCTGTGCAGCTCATCGTTAGCTTCATATAACGTGAATTCGACAGTCCTAATCTCACATCCTTGAACTGCATGTTTCCGAGTTCCCCAAGCTTAGCGACCGTGTCATGAGCAACTTCTGTTGGTACGAATAGTCGCACCAAGCTCATAGTCTCAGAGACTGATGTGTGTGCTACTTCAGTCACTTAGAGACGGTTTGATACATGGAGATACGAACAGAATAAGCTGGGATATTCATTGACCACAGGGGTGCCCATGGCGGTAGAAGAATTGTAGATGGAGAGTTATAAAGAGAGATTCTGACGATGCGAGGAGGCACGCTCTTCACCAGCTTCAATGTTTGTCCGGATTCCGCAGGCTTTTCAATTTTTTGTCCGTGCTCAAATTGGCCGCAATCAGGTATTTCAACCTTTTCTATTCGCACTGATTGTCGGCAAGCGTCAGCATCGTCCCTAGACTACATTCGCTAGATTTTCCTGCGCTGAGTCGCTGACAGAACCCGACCAGGCAAGGCCAGTCCCGAGTAGTCTCTGTTGCTGACCCTATGCGCAGAAAATATTCATAGGCCAGTCCCAGCCAGGATCGCCTCATTGATGCACACAAGTTTATGCACTATTTTCTTCGTCATTAGGTACCGCCGACCCATATTTAAATCTGCTGCTGGCTAGACCTGGAACACATAAGACGCTGTGCTCTCTAGCTAGGGAATATGACTTGAGATAGCCTCCACGACTCAAGTTACACCGAAGACATGTAACGCTCAAAGCTTCTTCTAGGTTTTTATGTCGTACGTCGTCGCATCTTGTCCTATTTCCACACCCCCTTAGTTTCCATGACAATGTTTGCAGCGCGACGCAACCACACACCTTCTTACTCCCAGTAGCTCAGGCTCTCCTCTCTGAGAAATTCACATGCGCCTTGTTGCTATTGTACACGTCGCCATGGCCGCCTTTGAACTCAACATCGTCTGCGAGCTGCTCCATGATACCGCGCCCTCGCTCCTGCATCCAGACGTGAAGGTTCTGAACGGTCATGAAAAACCGCGGGATGCAGGAGTTGCGGACCAGAAGGAGGGGTAGAGGGGTGGGACTGATGAAGCGATGGGACGCAATAGGTTAGGGAGAACCAAAAAGAAATTGCTGCCAGCGACGCTGTGAGTAGTCTTCTCTTACAAGCCTCCGTTCAACTCCATGATGCCGTCTTCCCTCCACTCTACGCTGGTTATTCTATCTATACAAAATCAATACGAGGGTAACAAATGCACAAATGTTCTTCGACTGCAACAGCTACCACGCACCGAGCGTCACCGCCCGCTAATTCTGACACATATCTCGGAGCAAGCTCACTTACACCGTCAAACATTTCCCTTGCATGTCCACCTAAAGTGTCTGGACGAGCATTTGCTCCTGGCTTTGACTATTTTCAAGTTTCAAATCCCATTCTTTTGGGAACCCAACTTCAAAATCTCACAAATGGGAGGAAACAGGGGAATAGAGAGCATTCGACATGTGGCCTGAAAATATATAGCAAAAGCTGTGGCATGCCAGAAAACACGAGCACGCGCAGCGCTCGCCGTATGTCCGTCACGTTGTTTGACAAAACAATGTGATCCTGACGAGCTTAGTTCAGCAGGCCCACCGGCCAGATGCCAAGCGTGCATTATGCGCCTCGCTCGCGTCGTCACCGTGTGCCGCGACAGATCCTGCAGTCGGTGTGCTAGATATGGGCGGACATCGTGTCTGCGAATTAACGTTCGTTACGGCTGGCTCATATTAAACGGGTTCGTGAAGAAGGATGGCGATTACTTTGCCATCTCACTCCTATACGCTACCTTTATTCTGTAAGGCCACGAGTCGCTTTGAGCGAGGCCCATTTCTGATAAAGGAAGGCCGCAGATTAAAACAAATCGGATAGCCAGGAGGCGCACGCCAGGAGATACACTTCGCCATCCGCTGTCAGAGCACAGGCTCAGCTGTCCTCCACGATTTCGGTGTCGATACTCATCAAGCACAAGTTGTCTAACTTGAGCAAACGACAACTCAGAGTGCCTTCTTTGACACGCTCTTGACGAGGTACGCTTGCTGATGGAGTCGTGCACGCTATACATCTATCGCCAAGATTGGTGCCGATCTCCGTCCATCGAGAGTAGCGCGGGTGCGTGGTGGCGCTAGTCTCCCGAAGGCAGCAACGTTGACGATTCTCCTTCAATCTCCGACGTGGTCTCCGGATATCCGTATCTGACGGTGGCGCGTCGTCTGTACTTAACTTGTGACGGATCGTTCCATTGTCGCAGGCCACTCAAACACACTCCAATCACATTTGCGCCGTGACAAGCATGGTCGTTGCCGGTCGTGGCCATGGTATTTAGAGGCTGGGCTGCGGAGCGATCACTAATTTGATGTGTGTAGCGCTCTGCTCATAGAATGAAGTATTGTGTAGCTCAGTGATCGCAATGACGGCTCGTCTGCCACCACAAAGGTTCTTGCAAGCGGCCTTGTAACTCGGCCACAAAGCGATCACGTGTCTAGGTCGCGGAGTTCTGTGGCTTCGTGGCTTGCAGCATTGGTTCAAACGTTCACCAGCAGAGGTCACCATCACAAGCTTGTTCGAAACTCGGGGCCACAGTTTGTGGCATTAGTCTCCAGTACTTAAGCACTTTCTCTATCTCTGTAAGTTGAATTCCACACCTGCTCTACTGCTCCTGACATGTCTTCACACAAAATAGCCAGCGCTCAACGTTTCAGTGCGATGAAAATATCTGATGCATCAGCCGAATACGCTCTACTTGCTGAAGAGACTGAGAACGACTTTCACGGACCTATGCCTATCACAGAATTCTTTGACGCTTTCATGAAGACGCAGGATGACAAGAAACCTCCCAAGCGTGCCACCCAAATCTTCAAGAACATACCTAGGATCGGAAAATTTGAGGATCACTTTGTGCGTATATGTTCTCCTTTGTTATTAGAGACCGATGTTGATTATATCGCATTCACAGAAAGATGCTGTCGAGGCATCTGGAATTTGCCAGAAGCTGAGATTTGTCAACACGACTGACAATCAGGATGCAGACTTCAAACGCAAGCCAGACATGGTTGCTTACAAGAGATCTCTGCAAGGCGGTGATGTAACTGACTTTGAGCCGATGGAACTGTGCATCGAGCGCAAGCCAGAGACTAAGGACCCATTCAAATATCTCGCTCCCAGTGCGACCTCTGGCGATACACACACAGTCTTGAGCCGCTCGCAGGCGGCGACCAAGAATCGAGGCCAAATCTGTTCATATGCAGGCTTGCAGCTCTCGGCGCAGAACCGGTTCTTTCTATTCACTGTGGTCTTGCTTGGTGACTATGTTCGCTTCATTCGATGGGATCGCGCGGGAGCTATTGTGACTGAACGAGTCAACTGGAGGAGAGATCCTACTCATCTGATCATGTTCCTTTGGAGGTTCAACAGTTTCAATGACGTGCAACGTGGACGAGATACGTCGCTCACAAAGCCCATGGCGAGAGACATCAAGAGGGCGAAGAAAGCATTTGACGAACGAGCCAGGTTTCTGGCTAGGCTCCTAGGCGAGGACGAAGAGACGGCTCAATGCCTCTACTCGTCCGATGCCACCTTCCACCAGTTTTGTGTCACGGACGATGACACACACCGGAAATACTATTTCATCGCATCCAAACCTCATTGGCAGAGCGGCAGCCCGTTTGGGAGAGCCACAGACGGGTACATTGCATATGACATCACCAGACAGAAACTTGTGTATCTGAAGAACAGCTGGCGGTACTTGGAGGATGGGATCGAGAAGGAAGGAGCCACCTATCGACACCTCGAACGATCAGGTGTAACCGGGATCTCGACGTTGATCTGTTCTCAAGACATTCTGGGTCAAGACACGCGGACGCACGAATACAGTTCAAAAGAGTGGTTCTGCAAGACGACGAATCCTCCGAGGCGACACAGGCTCCATCGGTTAGTTCTGGGGGACATCGGACGGCCCTTGAGCCAATTTAGATCGTCAAAAGAGCTCGTCAGCGCTATGCACGATGGGATGAAAGGTAACTCGACAATGTCTTTGACACCTTGCACGCTTACCAACGTCTTTCTGTGCAGCGCACGATCTGGCATTTAGATTGGCACACGTACGACATGGCGATCTCAGTGCCGGCAATATTTTGATATCTGATTCAGGCAAAGGAATCTTGATTGATTGGGATCTAGCTATGGTATTGCCAGATGTCGATGATCAGGGGGTTGACACTCAGGGATCGACGACGAAATGGCAAACGGTGCGCTAAGAGGCAGCCATGTAATTTGCCTCACAACTGAACTCTTGTCTCTAGGGAACTTGGCAATTCATTTCGGCGGCCCGACTGATGGATCCTAACAGCACGCGCCATGAACTTCGTGATGAATTGGAATCTGGTCTTCACGTCTTGCTGTACACCAGTGTCCGCTATAGAGCCAGCCACCTTCCTGTGGCACAATGTAAATTGCTCAAGAAAGCCTTTATCGAGCATTTCGACAGCAGATCTGACACCGTGCAGGGGCGAACATCCGGAGGACATGGAAAATACGAGTTTTTTCAAGTCACCGGGCCTAGTGCCTTCTCTCAACCAGGCCTCAAAATATTCCTGAACACCCCGCTTGCCAGCCTCATCGAGACGCTTCGAAGATTATTCGTTCCACTCTATAGTCTCCCTGACATGTTACAGCTGGTGCCTACCATGGAGCAATCTCGGGACGCTGCCCTCGAAGTCCTCAAGACTTCGGATCGATTCATAGAGATCATCGAGGAGCACCTTGAGATGGACGGATGGACGGAGAATGATGTCAGCGATGAGCTGCGTGGCTGTGATCAATTCTTTACCGAAGCACGAGGCCTGATATTTGCGGCACGGCGTAGCTCGTTGTTGAGGGCTAACATAAAGCGCGGCAGTGGCTCTGCGGGTATGGCTAATGCGACGTCAGCGTCCCTCCCCTTTATGGCCGAATCCAATGGGGAAGACTAGTACGCTTAGTAACTTGACATGCTATTTTTCCATCACAACTTATGCTCTATGCTTTTCGAT